CAATAGTATGAATCCTGCGTAAGGTTAAAGCCTCGTCTACATAGAAGTCGTAAAGTCGTAGTTGTAAGAATAGTCGACAATGATTGGTTAATTCTTATGTGTCTGAGTGAATTGACCAATTATAGTCGACTATTCTTACGACTACAACTTTAGGACTTTTATGTAGACGAGGCTTAAGTTAGATTAGGTTATTTACAGGTATTATACGTTTTATGACGTATTTTACCGTAAAATACCGTAAAATGTAAAAATCCCTAAAAAGTGCACGGACCCAACCCTGCTCGTCACTGCTTGCCGGCTCGACGTTCGGCGAGCGAGTGATAGCGCGGCCGACCTTCAGGTACAACGACGGCACGCAAAAACATCGTACGTCACCGCGCCGAGTGAAAAACAACAAAAAAACGTTGAGAGTTCGTTGGCCCGCTTAATCGTCGTACGATACCGCGCCGAGTGAAAAACAATTAAAAAACGTTGAGAATTCGTTGTCCCGCTACGTAATGGAAAATTCCATGCTTAATATTTTACATTACTTTGTTCCGTGACTGTTACTACGTTTTGTGTATCATTCTGCGGACTTATTGGTATTGATTAAATTAACGATTAATTCTGTTCAATCGAGAAAATGTATCGGAACGGAAATCGTTGTTACTTAAATTCTAATTACTAAGATTAAAGATTATATACTATGTTACAATTAATTTACAGGACGGGGAAAAGAGGGGGGAGGTATTGAATGCTAAATGTAGCATCAGAAAAATGCGAATTGCATTTGAAAAAGAATTATCGATGCGAATACGTGAATCTGCTGACGATAATAATTCCACGTGTAAGAAAAACTGCGTTATGTCCGAAAAAGAAGTCGGCGCGTAGAACTAATGTGGAGAGAAACGGTATATAGATTCACGATTTTCAGAAAGATATAAGATTTACAATTAAAATATATTACCGATTTCCGTCCGATGCAAAAGAGCGCTCGACTCCCGCACGAGCGAAGAATTATTTCTCCGGTTCGGTCAACACGATCAGAGAGAGAAAGAGAGAAATATGTATTTATTCTTTCCACGATACCCCTAACCGTAAATGATTGATAAATGCTCGATAAATGACATACAACTTTGTTCGAGCCATTTGATCCGCAGTTTCGCGCGACGCTCTCGATTCGGAATTCGACAATAGTCAAATGACATTTAAACGCGACAGGAAACATGATTAATTGCGACTTCACGGAATTTCATATAGTAATGCGCATGCTGGACAGTTTACATCACGTATATTTCAAATTAAATGAAATAGATGGAAAGGCAAAAAGTTAAAATTTGTCTTTGCCAGACCCCAATAACTACATGTTTGAAAAAGAATATTTCGATTTTGTGTTTCAGATCCGCGTGGACGTTGTACCGCATACCATGCAAAATGGAGAGCTTTACGGTGTGACAGACATTTATATGGAATATATAAATATAAAAAATTGAAAATTTGTCCTGATTTCATCGTTTCCCAGATATGGAGTTATACATAAATCCATTTTTTTTATCATCCAAGTGTAGTTTTTATTCTGTCCACTTCTAAAATTACGTTCCCTCGTAATAGCGTAACAAATAATTGAACGCGGTCCAAAGCTAAAAATATTCATAATGTACCGTGGCCCATCCAAGACGATGGATCTATCAGTCACTCACGGATTACTATCGCCTCAAAATGAAATAATAAATAATTTGACACGTACCTGGTGTGCAGCAGAATTGTCTCTCAAAGCCTCCTTCTCCTCCTCCTCTCACGTTCCTTCGTTGCACTCACGTAGTCGCAATCGTACGTACTCTCTAAAAGTCATCGAGTGGATTATCACTGAAAACAACGAGGGGGAAACCGCCGACCAAAGTCTTGCACACCAATGCCCACTAATGCCCAGTGGACATTACTTTATCTTATTATCTTATTTGATCTTATTTATCTTGTTTTATCTTTCTAATGCCCCAGCAAGGCCTCTAATGCCCAAATTAATTCCCAAAAAATGCCCAGTAATGCCGCAAATCTGTACAACACAATGCCCTCAGCGGTTTCCCTTTCGGTAAACAGTGAATATTCACTGATTCATAGTCATAAGATAGTCATAGTCATAACTGAATTATTTAGTTGTTAGTGATAATGCACTGACTTTTAGAGGGTAGGTATGCTAGTCACTCAACAGCAGCAATCGCAAGGTGCTCCGTACGACACTTCTGGTATCAAGAGACGCATATTTCCACAAAGTACACGAAATATTACCGATAACTTATGATTCATTCATAATCGTCGATTCTCACGGAAAAGTAATGTCTAGTTTCGATAGAAACTCGCCGCTTGCAGATGATCGTTGATCGAAAAAGTTAATTTATTCACGCGAACCAATAACCTCGCGATCGTTCGTGAAACTTTACTGCGTTTGGTAAAATATTAACGTTTGGTAAAATATTAAAAATGTACTTGGCGTCTCTTGGCTAAACATTGTTTATATCAACCGCTACGGAACACGCTCGACGCTTTGCAAACGAAAATGCATAAAGCAAAGTCTTTTCTACAATATATCGCGGACTAAGCGGTCGTTACGGCTCGTCGTTCCTTGAATTGCGCAAAGCGACGTGAGTTGCAATGTTCTCGATCCGACTGGTAAGTAATTTACATTTTTATCTTGAATATCATCGAAAATTCAGGATGCAACGCAAATCGTTGAGGGGAATAATTGTACCCTAATGGAGCGGTAATTTATATTTTTCACCTCCCGTCGCTTCGAGTAAGACGCATATTCATTGTACTCATTCATTTGACTCATTTTATGTCAAATGAGTAAAATACAATGATCGCGTTAACGTCAATCAACTTATCGCCGCCGCAAACTATTTAATGCGCTATGGCATTTCACACGTTAAATCAGTAAATTTATGCGATTAATGATAATATAAATGTCACGCGCTTCTGATATTCGTTTTCATTCGCGACTCCCCTTTCGTGAATAAAAATTAATAAAGAACGGAACAATGTTTCGATGCGTTTCAGCAGTTCGTTGCGTGAAGAATCGTTTCCGATTTATATATCTCGAATGGTATAAATATCAATTAATTCCCTGCATATGGTACGTGTACGTCGATTATTACTGTTCACATTTCGTACGAAATACAAAAACGTTTGCTAAATACAGTCAGACGATGTTCGATTTGAAAATGCAATTATCTTAAATGTGCTAAATAAAATTTCTATAAAGTCCAATGAAATTTCATAGCAAATCTCAGAACGAATCGCGGAGACGACGTATCGGCAAGTGGGCACTTTTTTTTAGCTTTTAACCCTTTGCTGAATTTCTTATTGTTGCTTTTCCCCTCGAAAACAATTCGACTTGGCACAATTTGAACCTCAAATGCTATCGTTATCTCGCGACGTTCCTGTTGACGACAAACTCTATTTCAAGTAAAACTTCGTAGTTGAAGTATGAGCAACCCGGGACGTGTGTGCACACCCGGCATATGCTTTCATCCCCTTCGATTGCTCTTCGCCTTCGATCCGCGGCAATAAATTCCATCGTCTCGCGCTTTATCGTTGTGTCTCCTTTCAATTTTTGCCGCTATTCGCGATTGCGTAAACATCGATCTTCGTGTTTCTATGAGTCGATGTCGCATCGTCAAGCGCGACAAATAAAAGCCCCGGGCCTGTACATACGGGTACGATTCTCGCCGGCAATATTTAACCAGTCAGTTCGGGTGTGTCAAACGTACTCGTTGATAATCGCCTTCGGCGAAAATTGATGGGGGAGGTATCGTCGCCCGTGGAATCCTCTGTTTTCGAAATTGCACTGTCGGAGCGACGGCAAAATATGAGCGAAAACGAAGCGAACGTGTCTGCCACTCGATAAAATTGATTTGCCCTTATGCCTGTACGTTTATAATTCAATAAAATAATTGCATTATGCGCGCGCGCTTAATTAATGCGAGTTTCCATCAATTTAAATAATTATTTAATAAATTTCTCCATTGAGTGGCATACAATTATTTCTTGAGTATATTTAGTAATATTTGTGTAATATGTTCACAGTACGACCGACGACACGCAATATATTCGTCAACGTGTATTGCGTATCGTCGGTCGTACAAAGTATTTTGATTGTAATGCAGGCAGCGGCATTGGATAAGTGGACAAGTGAAAAGATATTGATCTAATATTCTGTTATAACTGCTCGAGCGGTATTTATCGATATCTTATTTAATAGAAACATATCGCATAAAATAATATTACAGCGATACGAAATACTGTCATTATTACTCAAAGTACTATATATAAAATTACATTAATTATTAATATCTTTTACTGATTTTGCTAGTACTTACATTCTTTGCTAAAGGAGTACAAAATGCCTCTGCGCGGAGAGAATTGTCTCTTAAAACCCTGAAAAACGTGTAGTCGTGGGACAACATAGTATTTCGAATAATTTTATGAGAGCCTTTTGACTAGTAAAATGTATGGTAAAATTTAAAAAAACTGTCATAAAGACAGTCGCTCTCCGGCCATGGTAGACATTGTACATATTTTATTTTGTGCCGTTAATTTTATTATAATCATGGCTCAACTTTGTTATAATTTTTTACCGTTCAATTACATATTGCAGTGACTCGATTAATTTTTAAGAATTTGTGCTTGACAAGGACCCAAACCCGTGGTCGAAACGTCGCACGTTATATTTTTTATTCTTAATTTATTAAACAAGTGCCAGTTAAGGTCGACTAAACTGATCCGTTGTTATTTATTGCTGGCAACCTAAAGAGATTATCATATTTTCTTTTTTTTTAGAGATACAAATAAAATTACAAACTGTCATAGATACTTAAAAATGCCGCGTCGTCCCACGATTACATGATTTTCAGGACAAATTTTGAGAGACAATTCTCTCCGTGTAGTTAATTCAATCCCCTGGTTCAATCACCCTCACCAGCCACTCGATAGTTTTCTCGCTTTTATGGGGAATATAATACATAGTAAATAAAAATCATGTATTGATTCATGGGCCTCCACTGCGTCAGCAGCGAAGAATGTCCCTCGCTAAAAGAACCTGCTATACATTTTCCTTAATTTTCTAACTCTAGAAATGTACTTATACATTTGCATTCTATGAAGAAGGGACTAACAATTCTAGAATTATCGCTAAATTAAAATTGCCAGCAAAAAAAAAAGATATTTACAAATTAAATCCGAGACCGCGCGAGCCGAAGCTGCTGCGTCGCGAATTTTTAAGATCTGTCTTTCTGGGGCCCCGTCTCCAAATCTGGCCCCGTACGAGTGAATATCTAAAACTCTCCTCTCGGAGAAAACCGCAAGGATCACAAAATGCTCCGTTCCGTTTCTTCAAACTCGTGAGAATGACGCGTATCGCCGTGGCGTCGAACGTAAAGGCAAACTATCACAGTAATCGCCGCGAGAGTACGACGAACAGGAGAGGCTTTACCAGGTGAAAACGTAAAACTTCAATTAATTCCGCGCGTAGTTGAAGCGAGAGGCTTCTCGAGCTGAGCGTAATTAAACAGCACACGTTCAAAACGTGTCCATGTGGATGGTGTCCATGCTGGAGTACATATTGGGCACGCTGTTCCTGCTGCCCTGGCCGAAGGCAGCCACGTCGACGGCCTCGTCGTCCAGCTCCTCCGAGAACGTCACCAGGACCTGCACATTCCACAGCGGATTACGTGACGCATCATCCGCGGACTAATTGACGCGAGAAAAAAAATCAATTGGACCGCCATTCAGAGATCGGGCGGGAGAGTTTTAACGCGCGCGCCCTGGACTTCGCAGCAGCCATTGTATCGCGTACCCTTTCGGGATGAAAACTTCCACCGGCAAGTTGGAACCGACGGAGCAACTTTTTTTCCGTAATATCAGTTTTTCGGCGGATAATTTTCCTTTCCCTCGTAACGAATGTCTGCAACGCGAATGCCGTGTACTTGTATGCAGCGCGCAATTTCGCTTCGCAGATCGAACCTTCGCGCCTGCAATTATCGCGGCTGCGAGGAGCAAAGCTGAAGTTCCGCGAGAACTGGGTGCAAACTTTCGGTCGTTGCGTCGTTGCAGTTTCGTGCGTGCTTCGCGTTGAAACACGTTTCTCGCAACGGCGAGCGGCGGGCGGTAGGACGAAGGGCTTTACTTGTGCAACGAAGACCCATAAAAATCTCAAAACTTTTCCGACCGGCCAAGTTCGCCTTCCGCCCCCCTCTCCCCCCTCCCCCTCTCAAGTTTACATACAAGCACGCCGCGATACGGCAAAAAATTCCCACTTTGTTTGCGAGATCGCCGCGCACCGTCTTTGCGCCACGGTGAGAAATGCATTTACATAATGTCCCGACGCCGCGGGCAAACTTGCGACGATCTTTTTCACGGAAAATACACGCGCCGAGCTGGCTACCGTTAGATGGCTCGATATTAAAAATTTGCCGCTCGTGATCGTATTGCAATTATTATTATGTGAGAGACAAGTTGAGTGCCTGAGCCCGAAAAACTTGCTGGATATTGTTAACAATGCAATGAGATGCGGAGGAAAGTCCCTTATTATAAGATAGACTTTTAATACGAGACAGTACACGGAGAGGATTTTCTCTTAAAATTTGTCCTGAAAATCATGTAATCGTGGGACGATTTGGCATTTTGGAGAATTTTATTCGAGTTTTTTTAAATGCCATGTTGTCCCACGGTTACATGATTTTCAGGGTAAATTTTAAGAGAAAATTCAGCACACAGAGAGGATTTTCTCTTAAAATTTGTCCTGAAAATCTTGTAATCGTGGGATGATTTGGCATTTTGGAGAATTTTATGAGTTTCTTGAAATTTTACCATTCGATTGCACGATCTAACAATGAATTTACCATTAAACAAATTTCATTCCAAGAGCAATAAACTGCATGATAAAACCAACAAATGATGTCTATTAATTTAGTAGAAACCCTGCTATCTCATATTAGGAGCTTATCTCATATTAGGGGACTTTGCTCTATCATTTGAATAAAGTAAAGAGTTTAAATGCGCAATTACTTCTATTACAACGTATTTACGTTAATATTTCTCCTAATTTACCGAGGCACTTTAATTCAGGCTGTTAATAATTTGACGTATCTATTCTTAGTAGATACTTTCTCAATTTAGTTTTCAAATGTAATTCACCCTGATAATTTTCAATTGTGGATCCTGTTTACGTTGTACGCTCTTGGTTTTCCGAAGGATGCGCGCGGCTCTGCGAGACTCTTCGAAGACTTCACTTAGATCGTTTTCCTTGGTATTGCGGTAATCTAGAAGTTCTTAGGTTTGGCCCGACCCAGTTTACTACCGTGCTTACGACTTAATTTATATTCCGAACCGCGCTAACTTGAGCTGTTGCTATTGTCGTTACTCTGGAAGCTTACAAAACAACGGGGTTCATGGCAGCCCTTAATGTTCGCGTGGACCAAGTTTCAAGAAGTAGAGATGAATACGTGACGTAAGTTTGTATTTAACGACGATTTAAATACGCCCAGGAGAGGACAGATGACGGTGTTTTCCAGGGTGGAGAAACGGCGAGCGTAAACTTCCCTCCCGCTAATAACAATTAGCAATGATAATCCCGAGGGGGGGGGGGGCTCCCGAATTCGGGGAGAAACGAAATGCAATTGCGCGGTGAATGGCCGCGCGCGTCAATATTTTCAGAATGAACCAATTACGTAGAAATTGCAAAACGTCACGGGCTGATAGATCGTTCGCATTATTGGTCGAAAGGCGATTCTACTTCTGATGACAAAAAAAGGCCCCGTAAAACCACTTCTCCCGTTTCAAGTACTGAATTTCTCTCACTTTACCGCGCGCCGTCTTATAAGTGATCAATTAAGCTCCCATTATTCATCGCATTCGATAACGCTCCTCTTGAATTTCTCGCACGTTTTAGTTCACTCTCTCAATGGATATTGATATTTTACTCTCGAGCATTCTCGTCACAATCCTCTAATGGATTCTATCAGAGAGCTACGAAGTCCGAATCTTTCATCAAACTTTTAATAACGCGAATAATAGCTTACAAGCCTGCCGCGTCGGTGAAACGTGGGAAAAGGGGTAAATATATTTTTCGAAAAAAGGCATCCCTCGCTGCAGCTCGCGACTTGACGAAAATTAAATCGCGCCCCTTTTGATCGGGGGGGATCGATCGATCGATCACTCAGCGCAACGATTTCAATTCCCTCGAGCGCCGACGGCTCATTTCGATTTCTGGAACCGCTTCTTAGAATTTTCAGACGTAGAACTGCGAGGGATAGTTGGAGATGGATCGCGCGCGGGCTTTTCGCAGACCGTAAGATCTACATACCTCGTGCCGACGATTTCACTGTCGCGCAACTCGCCGTCGCGTGATTTACGATCGTTGCTCGCAACTAAGTCGCGAAACACTGAATGATGTATTGTTGAAAAGGGTTGCGAGACGAGTGGAAAAAAAAGTCTTTGTCGTTAATTCTGCGTCCTCCGTGACTTTGCGTTATTCCCGCGAGGAGTATTTTTGCGTGTTGCGTGGCGATGCAATAAATTTCTAATCCGCATTCGTATGTACGCACAATAAAGTTCACTTTCCCTTTACGACACGCGAGTGAAATGGACTCAGCCTGTAAATCGGGATGGATAGGGGAACAACCGTGAATAGTTCTACACCGTAACGATGAAAAAGCGCTTTCGCGCTGTAAAGTTTTATTTTAATCCCGTTTCATTATCCTCAGCCGGACGGCGCTTTATGCGGGACTTGAATTCGGAAAAACAAAGCGGGGGAGATTGCAGGCTTCATGCATCGTCGTAATGAGCATTTTTTTTAAAGCTAATATCACGCCGTCGCTTGAATTCTCCTCCCGCGGCTCGCCCAGCCGAGCTTTTCGCAATTTTCAGATTTCACCCGGACGGATGCGGCGCATACAATTTGCGAAAATAATTAATAACGTAATATCGCGACGTTACCTCGTGTTCGAGGGCGCGTTAATTAAAGCTAACGTCTTCGTACGACCTATGGAGATTTATATGTAAGAAGTTTTTTAATTAGCCTCAAAATTAAAATTTCTCTTTATTAACCGGCTTATGCAAATGCGGTCGGTGGTGGTCGCGCGCTGCGCGCGGTAAATTTCGCAAAGACCCGGGGAAGAGCCGGCGGAAGTTCGACGGTGTAAGACGTGGCCACGCGAGATGCGAATTGCAGCGTCCGGCTGCCGCGTGCAAATACGTTCTCTTCCGGCGCCGCGACATATTGGACATAATTTGTCCGCCCGTAAGTTGGACACACGGGCCACTCAATTACACGACGGTTGCGTCGCTTTAAAAAAATTTTATTCCCGACTAAAAACGCGGTGGCTTTTACGCGCGAGAGAAAAAGCTCAGGGCACCGCGCGCGCGTCTGTAAGTTTACGGATTTCACGCGGCGAGAGCGAGAGAGAGAGAGAGAGAGAATCGTTAGAATCGTTATTTATTGAACGCTCTGGAAGTTACAAGTAAACTTACCCAAGTGGGGACACACCGATTTTGATGAGTGTTGAATATGTTGTTTTTCAGCTCAAAATAAGGGACGCGTATTTTTTTATACGTGACCATGCGCACTTTTAGGTGGTGAAAATACCCCTTTGAAGAAAATGTGATTTTCTCTTTCGGGGGCGAATATTGATGAAAGTGTAAGAGCCAGAAAAAATTTTTAATAAATGAAAGTGCAACGATTTCCATAGTACTTTAAAACTATGAGCCAAAAAGTTATTTAATTTTTTCTCTTTCAAAATACCCCCACCACTCAACATTTTTTATTACAATTTGGAACTTTATTAAATATATACGGTTGAATTCGTAATAAGATAAGTTTTAATTTGGTACTAAAAAGTAATCAAAATTGTAATAAAAAATGTTAAACGGTGGGAGTATTTGGGTAGCATCGCGGAAAAGCGACAACCATGGACTTTCCATGCCTTTTTTATATATGGATGGGTCGACAATGTAGCCTAAAGTTGTAAATACATGAAAGAGCAAAATGTAAGTGAATTTAAAATGTCGTATTAGCGACTCGTCAAATTGTTGATCCGCATTTGGTGTCTGATCCGAATTTGGTCACCTTACCCGATGCATTTTAAAAAGTAATTGCGTACCAGGTACCACCTGGATTTGCCGAAATGACGCGCGAGAACAGGGCTCGGACGGGCCGGCAAAAAGTTCTTTACGCGGCGCCGCGCAGCGTAAAAGAAGACTACCGGCGCGTCATATGATTTTAATCTGATTACAGTTAATTTAATTGCACCTCAATTACACCGTCCCGACGCGTTCGCGGCGAATAATAACGTTAAATACACGACTCGAGAGACGCGCGCTGCGGGGACTTCGGGCGCTTTGACGTGCATTTGCGCCGCGCTGACTCGCATACGCCAACAATATGCATTTACCGAGAAACGCTTGCAATCCGCTCGCATTGAAGCGACGTGAAAGACAATCGTCATTGAGCGACGCACGAGGGCTTCGAAATGCAGGCGGAATGCAGGAAAGACGCGGTATCGCGCGCGCAAGATTTATACCCGGCAATTTCGACAAGATTCGGGCTTCATTATTCAGATGGTGAATTATTTTCGAGGAGAAGGAGAGGGAAAGAGAAGGAGGGGGAGAGAGAGAGAGAGAGAGAGGCAGGGAAGACGGGGAGTGGTTAATTAACAACAGTTTTCGCCGGGAGGGGAAGGAAAGGGTTGGTGCCGGTGTGTTATAGCTACCCGGAAAGCATTTAGGCGAGCTTAGAGGCAAGCAGCCGGTGTGTGGGCGAGTTGCCCGCCTCTCTGCAGCTTGTAAACCAACGCGGGGGTGTATGTAAGCGAAGTACGAGACGGCGGATCCATTAATATCCGTCAGGATCGGTGGGACGAAAACGCGGATCGTCTTTGGACGACAGGCGGAGGCACTGCGCGCCGGCGGTGCATCATCTGCTCGAGACAAGCCCTTAGAATATCGCGCCACCGACGTGCATTCACCGCCGGGTTGTTTACCCCCGAAGGTCACGTTGCGAGAATTAAATATCCTGAACCCTCGGCGGGTACGCGTGTGTCTTGAGACACTTGGACCCGGCGGTACGATTTCAGAAAATGATAACGTGTTGTATAACGCGGGGGTGGTCGACGTCGATTCGTAATTTCACGTACGACGATGCAACCGCCTCGGTTCCGGGCGCACGTCCGAGATAATACGTCGCGCAGCCTCAGGAGGGACGGGAGACATTGGAAAATCGAAATTGATAAGAATCCACGAAACCGCCGTATCGTTGAATTGGATCCACTGACCTGATCCAGCGAGCTTTGCGTGAGCGTGTAGTCTGTGGCCTTAAGCTCCTCCGCCAAGAGCTTCAGCATGCTGAAGCTCACGCTGAGCGGCATGTCCTGGCTGCGCGGTAGCAAGAGCCGAGCAGCCGTCGCTTGCCTCGAGGAGATCATCGCATGTGGCAGATATTTCAGGATAACCCGCCTGAGATCCGCGGCGGAGACTGGCTGGCCGAATCTCAGGAAGGCGACGTATCCTTCGCCGAATCTGAAAGTCAAATTTGGCCTTTCGAGTCGAGTCGCGACGCACGTTTCAAATGACGCTTCAATTAGCTACGATAATCGCAGTAACGTAAGCGACGCACAGATAGTCGCCCTGGAACAACATATTGTAAGATCGCAGAGGAGTCGTAAGAGAGAAACCGGTTTTATTAGCGCTCTTAACTCCGCGATTTATTCACTTTCTCGTTGCGCTCGATCGCGGGGGACGCGGCTCTATATTTCAAACTCGGCCTATAGACAAAGGACGCAGGAGCCGGCTTTTACTGCGCTTCCCGTACCGTAACAAAGTGCATTCGCCGTTCTTTATCATTCAACGTACTCTCCACGACACACGAGAGCGGATTGCAGGATAGGCTGCTAACGTAGACAGGACCATATCGTAAATTTTACCCTCGATGGCGAACGGGACACTGCGGGATAGAAAGAATCGGCACGGTAAGGAGGTGGAAGAGGGACACTCTCCGAGATCCTTTCCGAGAGCACTTTAGGACTTTAGCAGTCAAATATTTATTGCGCGCCGCGTTATCATTCCGAATAAATCGCGGCGCGTTCAATATAAATCCCTTCGTACGCACTTAGTCGACTCCAGTCGGAATAACTCGGCGAAAAGGCTCTGGGCTCCGTTACTCGCGTTACCGATAATAAGAATAAGATTCAATTACGCTACGCTATTTTTCCGCCGAGAAATTCAACTCAGCGAAGGGCTTGACCTTCTTAAAAGTATAAGAGTATTGTCGTCGCGAGGGGTTTCAGAGTTAATTAAATCCTCCCGGTGATCTAATTAAAATGCATTATGCCAACTCCTCAAAATTTTCTTTGATTAAATTGCTAAGGAAAAAATATTTGTGGCGACCTCGTGCCGGGCGGGGTAGGGGGAGGGATCTAATGAACCACAGCCACCGCTCCGCGCTTCCGCTGTATCGTCTTACCTCTCTCAAGAGGATTATTCAACAAGATGAGATGATATAAAGATAAGAGATTTCAATTGAAGAATATATTCGTTAAGCTGCGGGACCGTAAGGACCCGTAAGTTCTTCGGTCGAGCCGGAGAAAAGGATTGCAAACAGGAACGGAAAATCAGAACTGATAGAAGCGCCGGGCTTCCTCGTGTACGGTTTATGAGTCTGCTGGGAAATATCCGGGGTTAAAAGAGACGCGCTATTCCACGAAAAAGGAAGTTCGATGTAATCTTACTTGTGCTTCAAATGCTGCGGCGTTCCTATACACCTGAGACCGGCTCTAGCGAGAATGCCTACCCTCGTGCAAAGGTCTTCGCAATCGGCGACGCTGTGCGATGTTAATATGACGCATCCTTGACGCCTCGTCACGTGTTTCACCGCTCTGGCGACGAGGCTCTTCGTGGCGGGATCCATTCCGCTAATACGAGCGAGTGACCAAAAACAGCAGAATTTGAGTACCACTTGCGTGAGATTACAGCAGTTGTTTAACACAATTGTAAAATTATGCCAAGTACCTCGTGGGCTCGTCCATGAGAATTACTGCGGCAGGAGCCATGACGCTTATTGCGGCGCATAGCTTCCTTTTGTTACCGCCGCTGAGGCCGGAGACCCTTCTGTGAGCGTACTTGAGTAGATCGAACCTCTTCAGCATTGTCTCCACAGCCTGAAATAATAAATGAAATCCCCGGTATTCCAATCCCGGGCTTTCCCGCGTCTGCAAATTTAACCCTTAAAACTTCTGCAACTCTGAGGCGAAAAAAGAAGCTGTTGAAGTCTACGGGAATATCTTCAACAAAGCTAGTCGAAAATGCAACGCGATGGCACTCTCGAAAATAGAGATAAGAGATGTGAATCTGAAAAACCTATTAAAGCTGTGATCAACGGAATTAAGTTTCAATCTTGCACGAACGTACGTTTCTTTTCAGAATTGTTCATTTTTCGTCTACCTTAGGAACGTTGCTCAACCCGCACACTTCGCCGTGAATCGTCAAACACTGGTGGGGCGTGAGGAATCCGTCCAGGGCATCACTCTGCGGGCAGTAGCCAACCTCGCCATTACACAACGGTCCCGCGCCAATCTCTTTCCCCTTCAGAATAATCTTCCCGGCCGTAGGAATGATTTCCGTTGTCAGCATCTTGAACGTCGTGCTTTTTCCCGCCCCGTTCACCCCCAGGAGACCGAAGCACTTGCCGCTCTGTACGCCGAAACTTAAATTTTGCACAGCGACATTCGTCCCGTACACGCTCCTGTATTCCTTCCTCAGCTTCATAGTCTTCAAGGTATCGTCGACCATCCCGGCCTCCACCCTCAGTCTCTCCCTGGCGACGTCCTCGTCCTCCTGCACCGTCTCGTAGCCGACCCTCTGCCTCCTCAGATCGGGCAGGGCTCGACACTCGATTATCAGATTGAGCGTGAACAGAACTACACCGATTACGAACAGGTAGACAAAATGAGAGCCGAGAAGATCCCAGCCGAGCGGGGACTTGTACGTGTCCATATGAAATCTTTGCAACAATTCGGAAGTGATGTCGTTCGTCGTCATCGCGACTAATCCGTCGGCGAAGACATATTGCGGGAAGATCATTTGAACGTAATGCAGGATGTTCCTCGCCTCTTCGGCCGTTTTACTTCTGCCGAGGATGTCGAGGACTAAAATAGTCGCCAGGCAGATCACGCCTATGAAGGTGTTTATGCAGAAGAGCACCATGTTGGACAGGCTCGAATCGTCGAACGCTTTTTCGGCTAGATGCGAAAACGGCAACGCCGCCCATCTGAAATAAAATAAGGATTGCCTTAATGATATCTATGTTACGTTGATTTTATGCGAGCGAATAACGAAACGCGATTACTTACGCGAACAGAATTAACAGAAGACAGACACCGGCCAGATTATCTTTTGCGACATAAGCTGACAAACCAAAGATCTCGAAAACGATGACCGCTAGACAGACAGCGCAAATATATACCTAAAAAAAGATATATCGATATTGGAGGGCGTATTAAAAGACGGCGCGCTTCTAGCGTATTAAAGAAACGTCTGCACTCGGGCCTTATTAATAACTCACTATAAAATCCCAAATTAAGATTGTCGTCCAATACGTGATAGGATGAACCCCAGCCAAGTAAAGTATTCTCTTCTCCTCTGACAATCGTTCTCTGACTATCTCCTTCGTTCCCTGAGCTGCAACCAAACTGAAAGCTATCAGAAGTACCAACGCCACGCCGACGTCCGCCACATGTTGCAATCTGGAGAAATAAAACGGAACAAGATGAAATTTCTTATATTTAACCGGCGCGATTTGTCTGCTGTAACAATGTCAGAAAGAACCAGCGCGCGGGTATATTCTCGCACACGTATTCGATCCTTAATATTAAACATGAAGAGCAAACAAAAGTAGTATCGTGATTTGACGATACAAGTAGAATTTTGCAATGTAACTTTGAAACATGCGCCCCGAGCGGCGGCGAATACACTATCGGCGTGAATACCGCGGTGCGTTAATTAAAAGTAAACGGAACCGTCTATGTGCCGGGATATTTCACTCGTCGATCTTTCAGGTTCAAAAGATTTCGAACCGCGCGCAAACGTCTTCGTTTGAGGGAATCCGCCCGCAGTCCGTCACGTAATAGTTTGCAGTTAATTAATCCCGCGGGCGTACGTAACGACGAGAAATATCCTCGACAAACGCTTCGCCCACGATTTGTCGCGGCATCAGAGGGTAACGCTTACAGTGTCGTTCGATTCAGCTGATCGCTCGATAGCTTCAAGGGGTGATTGAGTGTGGTTAAGCGTCCTCGCACCCCGGATGCTCGCAGGATTGCCTCGTTGAGAGCGTTCAGATACGCCGGCATCGAATGGTGACCTTTGTTATTGTACCAAACGGTGAAGAGTGGATCCTCTTTGGAGTGCGACAGAGACCAGCCGCCGTATCTACGAGTCGTTGTTTGTTAAGAAAGTCTCAATCGGATCTCAATATCTAACGCCATCATTTTTATGCGAAATTTTTACCGTTTCTCTATATATTCCTGATGCGTCGAGACAATCCAATCCAGCGTAGGTCGGCCAGGTAGGGTTTGAAGAAGACCCTCAACGGCCTTAGAAACGCCCCGACAAGTTTGCTGACCGTCCAGACATTCGCAGGTTCCCGTATCCTACAAATTAATTCAGATAAATTCGCAGTTTACAATTTCAGCCTATTTAAAGTCCTCGTAAATTTTGAAATAGCTCCTCGCTCGTCCGTACATTAGGTAAAGTTTGCCATGCACCAGCATAATCATCTCCGAAGCGATCGTGCAGCTGCATAGATACATGTTGTAGGAACGGGTCGTTATTGTCGATACTGCAAGAGAAAATATTAAAGAACGTTAAGAATAACAGGTAGAATTTAACTTGATTCGGTTCGATCAAACCTAAAACTTTAATCTTGAGAAATATACATATAAATGGCAGATCGTACAATTAATAATTTCGCACCAGCGAGATCTTCTCCACACCTTCGTCTTTATTTCCCCTTTTCCTTTTATTAAAATCTTTTCTACTTTTTCTCTTTTTCCAAATCCCCAAAATCTTTTTATTAAATTTCTCCTACCTGTAAAAGTAAGTCGGGTGAGTATCATAAAGTTTGGGAGTCAAAGCCAGAGGCGGCTCGTTCTCGGACGGTGGCCGTATCAGAGAAAATCCCATAGCGACTGCAACGAACATGGTTGGTAAAACGAGCGCGGCTAACGGTGCCCTCCAGTCTCTCGTAAAATGCCATAGCCGTTTTTTTATCATGGCTTTCATTTGTCGAATTGGCGTGGGTTTCCCTACCATATCGGTAATTAAATCGACGTTGTCGTCTGATACGGGAGCTTCTGCGCAAAGCAAAAACTTTTATGTTTCTCTATAGACTTACGTACCGTTGATTGAAAGCCGAATAAACTAGACGTCTTTCTCCCTGTAAACTAGTAATTAAATATCCAAGACAGTGATTTTGAGTGACACAATCTGACGTAATAAATAATTATTTCATTATTATTTTATTTCCATTTTAGTCCTCTTTTTTCTTATCAAATATGTTGTAACTTGAAAATTATGAAACCAATTTGTAAGTTGTGCACTTTCAAAAACTACAGATTTATTGTCCGTTCTATTTTTTACTCTTTCTTACTTTTTCTCTTATTATTCTGTCGAAATCCCTCAAAAATCTAAACAATGAAAGATTAAATAGGCAGCTCTTAATTAAGAAGATTTTATGCATGCCACAGCGTACACGTCAAACATTTCTTACCGACGTGCTCCACAGTAATGACACTATCTTGGCTCGCTCTGATAGCGCTCGATCCGCTGTCTGCTCGCGCGCAAAGATCCAAGAAGACTCTCTCCAGAGTGTCGCACTCCAATGAGAAGTGCGAGAATCCCAAAAGCTTACGGTTGTCCTCCAGCGCCTTCGCCACTTGCGCGATGCTGAAACACCCCCCGGCTTTACTCAAACGCAAACGCAGGTGTTTAGTCGATTTTGTCTCGAGTATGGTTACAACGATCCCTTCTGAGATAAATCACGAGGCTTGAAACGTCAAATATTTGCGAAGACGATACGAAAATTACAAGCGGGCATTAACGTAAATCACCGTGCAATAAGTGGAGCTCATCTAATACATTCTTCTTAAAGCCTGCGGGGTCTTATATATATGTCAAGTTCTTTAGCACGAGTCGTGGAATTCAGAAAATAGACCCAGGAAGAAATGAAAAAAAATCTCATTGTATATGTCTCAATCATGAAATTATCTATTGAGATCTAAATCTATAATTAAATGTCCTAAGAGAATATAATTAGATCTCAATGGATAAGAACATTGAATATTCAATAAAAGTGTCGGATCTCTGAAGATTTTAGAATTGGATATAACTAGATATTACATGATCGAGACATATATAATGAGATATTTCCATTTTTTCCCGGGCAACTCAATTGTAAAGTTAATTAACTTTCTAACGCGCCAATAATTAGTATTTCAGACATTTACTCGTTGTTAATGCCATTCTTCCCCTGAAAAGGCAGCGCTACGGTGACCTCTGCGTCGGAGACCTCGTTTATCGTGGTGTTCGGTACAACCTCCTCGATCACGGTACGAAGAGCCTTTAGATTCTTCTTGTCGACCGTCTCCGCTATCCCTCCTATCCCCGCTTCCCCATTGGCATAGTGATCGGGTGGGAAAGCCACGTTCAGTCTGTATCCCCTGCCGTGTGTCATCTTCAAGGACAGTGGCGAGCCGGTGCACAAGATCTTCCCTTTGTGCATCACCACGACCGTGTCGCTCAACATGTCGGCCTCGTCCAGGTGATGCGTCGAGAGGAGCACGGTCCTGCCGATCCTGTGTTGGTCGATCAGTCGCCAGATCCGCCGTCGAGCCGCAGGGTCCACACCCGAGCCGGGCTCGTCCAGAATCACCAAACGTGGCGAACCGAGGAAGGCCAGGGCCACGCAGAGCCTGCGTCGTGTACCGCCCGACAAGCGCGACACAGGCTCGTGTTCTTGACGTCCGAGCTCCAGGGAGGTCAGCATTCTGCAAGAAAGCAGAGGTGCCCGTAACATTTGTCTCCAAGTGGTAGATCGTTTACAAAACGATTTTCTAGAGAAGCTAAAAGAAGAAAGGACATTCTTCTCCGAAGTCACGCGCAGCGAAATGCCAGGCGAAGGAGTCGAAACATTTTTTTCCCCCGTTTAATATCTTACTCGTTAACGTTCTTCTGCATGTTGTTGTTATCATCATTAGGTTTTTTAAGCTTCCAGTAGAAAATCATGTGCTCTCTCGGCGTCAGAGTTCCGATGAGTACGTTATCCTGCGGGCACACTCCTATGTCGGGCTTGCAACCCTCCTCGCCGTTTAAGCAGATTTCGCCGTTGGTCGGGGCCACCATTCCCGTTAGCATTTTACTGTAATTAGATGATTAGAGCGATATCGAATCGTTCGATTTTAAGGCACACCGAGGTAGATTGTTAGGCCGTATAATTGTTGCGAAAAAAGATTTGTCATTGAATGTGGATGTTGAAAACCTATTATATAAACCTATTTTATATATATATATATATATATATATATAATGAAGAACTTTCCTCTATATTAAAAATACTATAATACTCAATTCGAGAAGCGATTAACGTACATAATGGTAGTCTTCCCCGCGCCATTTCTCCCAAGCAGACTCGTTACTTCGCCCTCGCAGAGCTTTAACGTGAAGTCCTCCACGGCGACGACGTCACCCCGTTCGGTGCGATAGACCTTCCTGACATTCTCGAACTTGACGCCGATTTGCTTCTCCGTAACCGTCAAGCTACTGAGATCGCTCTCGTCATCTGTACGTTCGGCAACAGACGGCAGTTAATTTTTACATCGCGCTTACGTTAAATGACACCTGCATAAAGCAAGCTCTCGGCGATCTCACGGTAACGCCGTCAAAAAGCGAGTTCAAAAACTGTTCTCAAAGAAAAAGCAACTCCATATACATACCAACGAATACGAATATTTTTTTAAACATAACTCCGATACCTCCAATCGATTCCAGGATCAATATAATGTTCCTTTTGATTTAAATTACGTTCCATGCGACGCGTGCAGTACGTGCAGATATTATACAAACCATTCAAACGTAAAGAAAATACAAAATTGAGAATAATTAAAGTGATAGAAAAGAAAGACAACAGGGGCGATGGGAGCCGTCACCTGATAGAAGATGATGAATAATAAATATAAGATTCAAAGCATATATGTATATCAAAGAGGTGGTACCATAAGTATACAAAAAAGTTAAACGTTTCGGTCACAGAAGTGATCCTCTTCAGTAACAATCTAATTAAAAGACGCCAAGTCATTATTTGAACGGTGATGACTCGTTACAAATGAAGTTAATTGGAAATAAAGTGTATAGAAATCGTAGAACGTCGATTGAGATATACGCAGATTATGAGTAATAGAAAGAAGAGCTGAACACTTATGTATGTAAGCGTAATCCATCGTGATTTCACAGCAAAGCATCTCGACAGTCTGATACTTAGTTGGGTATCGGAGGGTTGTCTACAGATGTGAAAAAAACGATGGAGGTGTATAAGTCTAATATATAAAAAATGTCTATTTATATTCATCACCTTCTATCCGGTGACGGCTCCCATTGCCCTCTTTCTTTTCTTTACGTTTTCTTTTCTATTATTTTAATTATTAATATCAATTTTGCATTTATCCTTTGGAGCCTATTTATTTTAACGCGGGCTGAAATATGCTTTCTCAGGGTAAAGAAAATAATTGATAGTAGAATATACAGGACTGTTTACCTGACCTTAAAATAGTTGCCGTAAAAAAATATAAATGGTAAAAATATAATGAAACGAAAGAAAGCTGCAACATTCACGAGAGCCTTATGCAGATGTGATCGCATTTACATACTTAAACACCAAATCGAGTATGAGAGCGTCCCGAGATGCAAGAAAATAAAAAGCATAATACCCACATATGTAATTACATTAATGGCAAGAATAGAAAGAATAAACTGATGCAGGATAACTGCGGCTGTATAAAAAAGAATTAACTTTCCTAATGTCAGAACATGATATCGCCTTAATTTGAGCTTTTCTCAAGAGAGAGAGAGTCTCGAGAAGTTACTTTTACGAGGAAAATCTTCACGGGGACATGCCGAAGTTCTAAATTATAAAAAATACCATGAAAATTGTTGACAATAATTTCCACCGCTACCGCGGGAATAAAACTCAGCCCAGTTTACGTCTATCAAAATGTTCTTTTTACTCCTGCGCTTCGTGTCAGTCGACATGCGAGCTCGTCGTCGGCGTGCAGCGCGAGAAGCAAGCTGAAAACAAACTTTCGTGACATGCGTGTGCACGGGGAAGAGTGCGATACCTTGGTAAGCGGCTGAGGGATGGAGAACGTCGTTAGTGAAATAGAGGTTGTTGACGAAGGCGAGGTAGCTCGGCCTGCCATAGAGAGAGCGTGTGTCGGCCCACCATAAGCTACGGGACCTCAAACCGTGAAAGCCCCTACCTGGAAAATTATCGGTAATGCTCGCTCCGTTTCGCAGATAACTCACCAGGTCTCGTCATCGACTTCTCTTTAAACGACGCGACTTCTCTCGTCGTCGCGTCGAATCCGCACTCCTTGGATTTTTCTCGCAGCCGCATCTCGCGATTATACTCTCGGGAGAGCAAGAGCGCCGCGTGAAATGTACGTGCGCTAAGTTTGTGAAAATGTGATGGTACCGCATACCAGGACGGTATGCGTAGTCTTATCATTATTTTCTGTGTGAGAGCCACGCGGAAGAGACACGTTGAAATACTTTATTCACGAATAGTACTGTGAGATAATTTTAAACAGAGGCTAATTGACTCGACAAAATGTGAGAGTAAATGTTTGAACTGTGTAAGTAAGTTAAATTAATAAAATTTATTTAATTGACGATTGACCCGATAATTTAATCCAACCGTATTATCCACATTAGAATGAATTACAAAACGCTTTACGGAGGAATCTCCGCATTTTTGTCACAAGTTAAATGCCACGGAAATTATTCATGCCATGACTTCTTTTCCGAAACGCGGACATTACTGTAATAATTTATTTCAAATTATTCCACCGCATAGCTCTGATTTTAGTAATTGTTATCGACGCGAGAGTTAACAAAAATTGAAACACGCACACAGAGGGACAGTTACACAATTCTGAAGGACCACCTACACCGATAAGTTGGCGAAAAATTCTCTTGTTAACAAACTCGGTCTTCTATAAAGAATCGCATTCGCGCGGTTATCAGTCACGGTCGGTCTCGCACGGAAAAAAAAATGAGAAAGAAAAATAGTGTCAATGTTAGCCAATCTCTACCAGTCACTCTTGACACCTCCACCAGAATCATTTTCGAGAGTAGACGGGAGGGTGCATCGGAATGTACCTGAGTCGGTGTATCTGGCGATGAGGTAGCCGATCGCGGCATACAGACAACCATCGAAAGCGATCATTATCAACAGCATTCCCAAAGTCATCGAATCGCCGGGACTCGATTCCTCCCACATGTTTGACCAGCTAATACCGATGCTTTGAACTTCTTTTCGCACCACGTACAGGCATCCGTAACAGAAGCTGGTCGACATGCTCAGGCACTGAGAAACAAATCATTCCGTGACATTCTTGACGATGAAACGAGCCGTTCGTCAAGCGTGTAATGTGACGTTGTCGCGCATTCGGTTTTTAGTTGCACTCTTGCTTTATAAAACTAAGCGCGATTAGATCGCTAGTCCGACTCACGATTAGAAGTTTGTATCCTAATCCGAATACAGCCTCCATGGCGATAACAATGACGTACGGCATGTAAGTTAATAGGAACATGACGACCGTGGTAACGGCGGAGAGGCTGGCGGAGCTAAACATCGTCGAGAGCATGTAGCTGAAATGTGATTAAGATTTACAGTGGTTATTCTGGAATAGGAAACGTAATCGCACGTCCGAATACGTGCGGTCACACGGCAGGAAATTCTTGGGCTGGTTACCCACCAGAAGGTCACTATGGAGAAGCTGTAATCGAAGAGTAAAACAAGCACCACGAGAGGATCCGACCGTGGAAGGATTTTCCCGACTAATAAAATTATGGAGATGCAAATCATCACGATCGACAGCTCCGCGTAAGACGTGATGAACCAAGCCAGAGTGTTTCGCCACGGCTTCAATCCCATTACGCTCATTACCTGAAAAATTAATTACGAGGGATGGATATAAACGCGTCGCGTTTCTCGATGAAAGGTTCAACGTCACGATTTTGCGATCACTTTAACGATCTATGATTCCTGTTGCATGTCGGGATGAAATCCCATTTATAATCGTAATGTGTGTTTTAATTACTAAATGTTGTCTATATTGCATGGAGCGTAAGATCATAAATTCTATCTTAAATTCTGACACAAGTTGGACAATTTCCAACAGACTTTACGCTAACATTGTGCTAACAGTCGTACCATAGAATTTTGCGATTCTCTTTCCCAAACGATGTGTCTGACGGCCGATCCAACGCACAGCATCAACGCGAAGAAGAAGCCTACTTGCAAACCTTGAGATTCGTACAGCGTCGTTAGGAATCTGTAACATTTATTCTCCTTGTTGACAAATAATTGTAAGTAATGGCTAGTGAAATGAGAGACAGTGATATTAGAATGTCCAGTGGTTTTAGCCATGTCCTCGACAGTTACAAGATCTTGTCTCGAGACACAGACTATCGATTACTCACGGTATATTTTTCCAACACGGATACGGCATCTGTTGCGTCACCGTCTTCCAGTTGAGATCGTATCTTCGTGTTTTCACCTTGACGATCGCGCGATCGACGGAGTCCTGAAGTTGTATAAAACCCCGAATATATCTGAGATGCTCGAGGAAACTGCTCTCCGGCCCGGGAATCCAAAATTGATTCTTCAGTCGTCTGGTGGACGGCACGTAGTCTACGTCCATGCGGATTTTATAGGTGATATTGTCCGGTAGTTCGTGATCCAGAGATCTCTTTGCCGGACGCGAAGCAGCGTCGTCCAAGAAGATCACCCCGGCCAGAAACTCGTTCGTGCCGGTCAAGCGGCTGGCCGCTTCCTCCAGTTCCTCCTCCGTGGCGAAACCGATTGTTCTATTCACCAGCACGCATTCCATCATATCGTTTAACATGCCCATCATCGAAACTAGTTTCTTCGATTTTTTCAGCCGCCACGCGATCTCACTTAGATCCAGCTCGGAGAAGTCGCCTACACGACAGTAATGTGTTAGAACTGCGAGCGCGCTTGTTCGTATTTTTACGCAAGTTTCAAGTTAATTTTTAAAACGACGAAACTTCAAGCTTGAAGCATACATAATTACCTTCGAAATTGCCACCTCCTAATGACTTGATCGCAACCTTCATGACGTCCGAGGACATTATGCTCTGTAATTCCTTTAAAGAATCGCTCATCTCTGTGAGATTAGCCAGAGCCTTGAGAGTCTTCTCGACACTGCTCAACAGTATACCGAAGTGCTCCATCTGCACGAAAGTTTCGTTCGTCAACGCCATGACCTCGGAAATGATGGCAGTATTAGGTGCGTAAAGAATCTGTCCGCGTAACAAAGGCTTGACGTACGACCAGACAATCTTTCCGCCAGGCATAGTGAGCACAGTCTTATAAGTTTCTCTGCAGGACTCGTCTGAAATTGAAAAAACAATTTTTTTTTTACATTTTGGACAAATCGTTTCATTTAATGGTTCAACGCGCCTTTACTTGCTCCTTACTTGGCAAAGAATCGAGTTCCATCCGTTCGGACGCCTTGTTACTGTCTTTCAGGCGGGTGAGAATTTTGTAAATTTGTCCGTTTTCCTCCTGGATCAATGCTTTACCACAGAGTAGTTTACTAGACTCCTTCAGAAATTGCGAATCTAAAATTTACACAATTTGGTGAAAGAAGTGGATTGAAGAAGTTAATTGGATTTGATTAGATTTAACGGCGATTTTTATTTACGTTGCACGACTTACTGGATAGCGCTCCATCCGTTTCTTCCGCGTTGCTCTCTTCCGCTGCATTTCCGAAAGAAAAGCCCGCCGATAACTTGTCTTTGAAGAATGGAAATAGTTCCGCAGCAACGCCAAGATTGTCCAATATGATTTTGCCTTCGGTCTCGGTTAAATTTGCGTTAGCCAATATACTTTTCACATTAGCGCTCATCAACTGAAACGAAGAAAAACATTTATATAAACCTTTGTCGTATTTAGAAACGATAAATATAAATGCTACAATTACGTTTCTGAAAATATAATCGAAGTTCAAGTTCTTCATCAACGTGATGGTGATATTTTGCGTCTGGGAGTCCTCCAATTGGCAGAGCGCGGAGCTAACTTCTTCGGCAGTCACGAGTTTGTTGTTCAAGTGCAACATGTCGCCGAGCTTCTCGGGCGAACAAATGGTATCTTTTAAACTAACGATGCCGCGTTCCTGCATGAAGACTGAAATCATGTCTATTTTCGCTTCGCCCAAGGTGACAGCGATCTCGTTCGTAATACCAATTTTGTCGATCAAGTAAGTTCGCACAAAGTCCCAATTGTCAAACATTTCTTTGACAGCATCTGCAAAATTTAAATTGTTAGCTAGAAAATAGTCGCCGCGTAACGGCGTGTAAATGCGAATTTAAATTCGATACATTTCATATCCAGCAGCCCTAGATTCTTGAAGATCTCCATTGATTCCAATGTTGCGATCATTGTATTTAAATCATCGATTATTTCGTGATCAGCTATAAACGGCTCAACATCCTCGAGAAGTTCCTTCATCCTGGAAGAGAAGACATACGCATATTTTTAATACAGTGTCAGATTTGTTAAGAATTACAGGTGTTTTTAAATTATAGCGATAATTTTAAACCTAAAACTTTTGCGAGAAGAAGATGAAGTTCATAAATTATCTCGTTTATTCACCCATTGAATCGTTTCGCGCACTTACAATTATATAATCAAATTTATATGTACCCGTCGAATAATTTGTCGACTGTTTTATCCTTCAACAGATTGACGATGCCTTCGGCGAGGTCGGGAACCCCGAGAATGCTGGTGACGTCCTCGAGATCTATTTTACTAGCGATATCCAGCAGATTTCCGCTCTCTCCTAGGATCGAGGACAAATGAGTCAAGATCTCCTTAAGCCAGAAGAGATTCCAAGAAGCTTCTGTGCGCCAGAAGGACAGCTGCCGACTTATGAGATCTATGTCCAGACTGCGGGCCAATCGGCTCGAAATGTCGGATACCGACGGATACTTGGACGCCTTTGGATCGTATCGAAGAACCTTCGCCGCTCTCTTCGAGCTGAGAAAATTGTAGAGAATCGTCGCGTTTTGGCAGTCGCTCTTCGTTCTGCACAGAGACGTCTTGCTCACGGCGCTCAGAATCGCGTTCACATTGATAGTGGCGTTCGGTAGCGCAGCATCGATGTCGTCGACATCGGACTTCTTCACTACGTCGTGCAACGGTTTCCAAATCGGCACGTGTTTCTCGGCTAATCTGGTCAAATTGTTGATGCTCTCGTGGATGCTCGCCGAGTCCAAAATGTAAACGTTCTTTTCCAGCATGTCCAGTATGCTCAGAAGAAACGTAATGTACCTTGAACGTAATGACGATTGTAGTTCATATTAGTTCGTGGCACGAAAGCCCTCGTTGCGAAATATGACGAGATAAAAGTACTTACAATCCTGGTCTAGAGTACGTAGAACCGCCGGTAAATTTATTAAAGCATTCGTTCACTCTACCACTGTATGTCTCATTTTGGAAATCGACCACAATATCGGCAATGTAATGCAAAGTAATTTCTAGCGTATCTAAGAACTCGTCTAGCGTCTTCTTCTTATTCAGATATTTGTAATCCTTGACCTGACAAATTTTGTTTTTCAAATTAATAACCGGCGCCAATACTCTTCAACGCAATTTATAACCGTCATTTCTTACCATACTGCCCGTTTTATTCCAGTTGAAGTCATTGATCAGGATGTTGTGCACCTCCGATATATTTAATCGATTCATTTTACAGAGCAGTTTTGAGTAGAGACTATGGTGTATCAATTGAGAATTTAAAATCTCCAGTGGAAGCGTAGTGCACCAAGTACAATTTCTAAAAAAAACGCAAAATTACGTGTATTACTACTTTTCTTTACCGTTAACTGATCAATCATCACTTCTTAGTGACACGTTTACTTACACGGCATTAGTTTGAGTATCTTTAAAAAGATTTCTTAAAAGCGTCACTGACTTCTTCACCATCGAATATGCCAGAGCCCTCGTATCCTGCAAACGCATTTCGTTAAGCCGCAGTAATTTTTGCGGGAAAAAATTCAAACAGCAAAGTCTTGCGCTCGACAAATCGACAATCCATATACAGAATAAACGAATGAGATGAGCGAATGAGCGAAGATTGGTAAACCCACCTTTCTTTTATATTGCGCGACAAAGTCTTTGAAGGTGCCTTCTTCGAATGACGTCCACCACGCAGGAATTTTCGGCGGCTTAAAGCCTTCTGACGATACGCGACTCAAAGTGGCCTGAAATGTCTGCACCCTTTGCAACAGCTGCGCTTCGTAAACAGATTCCGATGGTTCAGACGTAAGGTAGCTGTCCTATAAATTAATTTGAATAACATTTGAAATTTAACTTAGTATTTTATTGCTATCGTCGCTCGATGGCGATCGGACATTACGTTGTATTTTCCATTGTATGGCAACAGATCCGTCCATTTCAGCTGCTCGTCGCTCATGACGATCTTCTGGCAGAAGTTCGTAATACTGGCCAGCAAACCCCTCTTCCTCATGTAACTGGGTGGGATCAGGTAACGATCGATATCGCAAGGGTGCACTTGGCCGAATAGGAGCTTCTGGATGAAATCGTCCAGCCTCTCGGACGAGACAAAGGTATCGGCGGCGGTGATAAAAAGATTAGGCATATCCTCCGCGAGTGTCAGCAACGGCTTGAGCTTCGAGGTCTCGTACATGACGCGCAGCTTCTGCCAGACATCGCCGCCGGACACGAGATCGACCACGGATTCTATTAGCTGAAACAGCCTCCTGACCCCGACAAGATAATCCGTACCACCGTGCGACGTCATATTGGAGCGGTACCACGCAGAGCTTCGGCGGATCCAGGATTTTTCAGACTTCAGGATCAGGGCCCAGGTTTCGTTGGATAGACCCCTCAACGTCGTCGTATTGAAGATGTTTGATGTGAGACTCACTTCTGGCAACGCGGCGCTAATGGTTCGGTGATGAAACGTCGAGACAACATCCAATAATTTTGTTAACGACATAGTTAACGGCGTCGTTCTCGATAAGGTATTTGTTCGGTTGGTGACAAAATTCTGGAAAAAGAACCATGTTACAATCGGATCATTAAAAACATTTGAGAGAGAGAGAGAGTCCGATCTAATAAATGTGTTAAATGAAATAAATTATTTGAATTATGTTTTATCGTACGTACATAATATTCGTCGCTCGTAGCAGTCTTTAGCAGCTGATAAGGATCGAACGAGCACACTGCCTGGAGGAAGTGCGTTCTGCTTGTTGTGTTCCAATAATCGGAATTGAAATGCTGCCTACACATAGCCTTCCTAATATCGTTAAAGGATTCAAGCTCGCCGGTTGTATCGTTGAACGTGCTAAAAGTGGCAATTAACGCGATAGTCTCTTCCGGGTAAGCCTCCAGGACCTTCAGCATTTGACGTGTATCGTCGTTCTCCGTCAATTGCCAAATTTCCAATTTGTTATCGTGTATCTCGGCATTCTTCAATGCGTTGCTAATGTGGATCAAGACCTCCGACACGCCCTCCACCACCAATCTATAATTCGACCAGCTTTGACCTAATTTCAGTTCCTGAAAAAAAGAATAGCCATTTATTACATCGTTTATGCTGCGAGAATTAGTCTATTAAATCTAAAGCTTCCATAAAACTCCACAAATATGACAATGATCGTTTAGCCGTATTTACCTTGTGAAACGTACTCTCTTCGTTTTGGACCTCCAGACTCTCTTTCAGCATCTGGAGCATATGGTCCAAATATCTCTTCGAGAACGGCGGCTCGATGATTACGTTATGCTTCAACGTGAAGCTGACAGCTCGGATAAGTTCGTACAAGTCGCCGATTATTGAAGCTACGTAAGATCGATAGTTTCTGGCGGGTTTATTCCAGATCATTATTTCCGCCATATAGAGATCCATGTAGCTGTTGAAATTCTCAGGATCGAGATCGCAAGTGAAATTTTTCAAAGTTCTGTAATCTTCGGCACTCAGGCCGACTTTAAAATCCGAAAACCAATCGAACAGCATCGAGCATGTGATTGTAGCGTTATTTTCCAACGCTGCGACAATACGGTCGTCTGTTACAGGATTCGATATCGCGTTCACCAGCGTCGACAGGATGAAAGGTAGCTGATCATGGAAAATAGTAATGGGGGACATATTATCGAATCCTAACAAGGATAATAGACTGATTTTTCCTGTGCCTGAAAAGACAAACATCGTATAAGATTACAAAATCATAATAGCAATATCAATTGTTAAAAAGACACGAATTAATGTTTCCGTAAAATTATTATTTAAAAATCTACTTACCGTCTTTTAATATACCGTTCACGATGCGTGCGCCTTTGTGAATGACGTTAGAAAGATATTTCGAGAAGATAAGAACGCGATCAGTAACGTTGACTGATGGTTTCCAAATTGCACTTGCAGAAAGACCGCTGCCGAAAGCTTCTATTGCCTTGTCCATCTCCAGGTCGATATGAGTCAAAGTATTTCTTCAACAAAAATTAACGATTTTAAAACTATTGCGGACTATGATGTAAAATATATCTCGTATGCTTCTCTTCTCAGATGCAAAATTATGATCTTTCTGTTACGCTAGTTGTTCGTTACATAATGTAAAATACAACTTTTACCCCCAATCACTTTGCATGCTTGGAAATCTTTCCTCGATAATGTTTTCCGATTCTGCCGCGAGTGTCGTTAGGTATTTCGCCAATTTTGGTTCTTCCGCCAAAACAACATCCTTAGCGTTGTTTATCAAATCGTCGAATTTTGTCACCAATCGTCGAAATTTCGTATAGCCTAGAGTCCAGTTGAACGGTGGTAAATCTACATTTTCGACGTGCTCGAACTAAAAATAAACACACACTCAATGTAACTATTTCCGTATTTAGTAACTCAAGATTCGTTTTGCAAATTATTTGCTATTATATTTTGTTAATACATTTGCATTAATCCGCAGTAGAAACTTTTTCTCTATGAATAAAAAAATTCCATTCGATTAACAAACCAATAGGACGCAAACTCACAATCTTTCGGACCCTCGTTATTACTGGATGCTCTCTCCACTCCTTGATAAAGAGACTTGGATTGCAAGCGACCCTTTCGAGCTCTCTAACGACTTCCCGACTTCCATTTCTTAGCTCTAATGCAACGCCCACGCTCTCGTTTACGATGCAGGGCCACATTACCTCACGTTCTTTGTAATCATCAATAGCCGATATCTAATGACAAAAGGCATTTATCGCGATACATCTCGTGGAATGTGGTTGCTGAAAATTAATCGAGCAAATACATTTGGGAACTGCCACTTACAAGAGGCACCGGCCTCAGAGTTATCATGTCGACTATATCGAGAATGACCGGGGATAAATTTCTTAGGAACGTGCCGGCAAGTATCTCGGTCTGCGGCAGCTCCTGCAGAACGTCAGAAAGCTTCGCCACGTGATTGCGCTTCTGAATCTGGTCGATGATCTTCTCGATATTGTCGAAAATCACCGAGGTTGCCCACGCGAGCCCGTACATACTCTTCCAATCTTTCTTCTTCTGGATTGAGAACAACGGACTCTCCATCACGTCGAAAACCTTGCAGATTAAACCTACGCTGCAGACATATGTAATGTGTCACTGGTCAATTTTACTGCGGTCAAGTCTCGTGGCATACGCGTGGCAGCGAATCGCAAAAGGTACGTCATAGGTCCCTGCGTGCGAATGCATTGAAAGTCTTTCTTACCTGATCTCCCACGTATCTTTCGCCGTTATGTTTGTCGTCCACGAAACCTTAAAGTTCTCCTTCAATTTCTCCAATTTCTTCAGATCATAATGCTGATCCTCTTGGTGCACCAGGGTATCGACGTATTGGTAAATCTCGATTGTTCTCTCGTTGAAAGCCGTCCAATTAAAATCCTTCCTCCTGTAAGTGGCCTCCTCGATTTCGATGTTGGTCACGTTCAATTCCAGATTCCTTTGCACAGTTTTGGATAGATAGCACGTCAGCTCCTTCAGAATAGTGCCGTTCGATTCCTTAGGAAAATTCAGCAAATCCGGCGGATTCGCTTCCGTGCAGTACGTTCGCGTGAAATTCGAATACTCCAGGAGCTGCAAAGTCTGTTTAACGAGGATCGCATTGAGACGTTAAAATCTGACGGAGTGTACAATCGATTGTGTTACGCAAAATCTGAGAACTAAAGCAAGATTTAATTGCATTTTGAACCGACCTTTTCTTTATCCGCGACAGTAAGGTAAAACGACTCGATTAATTCAGCTTCGTGTTCGCGTACTTCCCCGATCCAGCTGGTAGGATTAGTTCTTAGATCTTGCAAGATTATTTCAGCTATCAAATCCATATTTTCGAGATCCGGTCTAATGGACATGTACGATAAACTGCGAATACCCAGCATCTTTGCTATACTCAAGTGGATTCCTAAGCTAAAAAAAAATAGAAGACGTTAGTGCAAATTAGAATATTTCGTAATTTGTGAGTAAAAGCAATTAATTGAGATACAAAAGAAACAAATTAGATCGCTTTTTATTTAGAAATAATTGTATGCGTAAATGTAATTAATAAACAATGTAATTAATAAACAAGAGTGAATCAAAGAATATTTGTTTATCGTTTATTACATTTTATATCGTTTAGTACATTCTCAGCTTTAATTGCGCAAGTAAAATTCATATTGCCTTGTATTTTATTTGTTCTTTCTCTACTCACATATCCAGTCTTCCTTGACGTTGCATCTCCTTGAATGTCCCTTTCCATTCGTTACTTATTTCAAAGACATTCCAATTTAAGTACTTCACTTTTCGTGTGTCCAGATATGTCACGAATCGTCGGACATTTTTCACAACGGATGTCAAATTTGACATCTCGACCCTGGCTACTTGTTTGAATGCCATGGAGACCATAGTTGATAAAGTATTTGATACCTGAAAAATGTGGTTCCTTTAATTATGAAATTAAAACTTGAGTTATTATTTGATCAATTGTTGTACGCACGATATTCCCAAACTTCTCAAACTCAAAACTGTCGTAAACGTCAGTAATGAGTCTCTTTCCATCATCGCTGCAGATTAATTCCTTTATTTCATTGGATTTGTCTCGAAACTCAACATAGTTTTCGAACATCTCTCTCGTTGTGTTTTCTTGGCACAACACTTCCTCGAGTTTTCTTTTTTCCAAATTGTATACGAGACCCTGTAAGAAAAGTTTCGAAATACATAATTAGCTTGATTCGACAATAATGAATATTAAACTGTTTAAAGAAATGAACAATAAAACTATAATACATCTTGTGATAAATATGACAAACCTCCACAAAATCTAATCGAGAGAAGGACCGAACAATCGTTCTGTACACAGTAGGCTGAAGATTTGTCAGTATCTTTTGGACAAAATTCTGATGTTTTATAGAAATCTCGTATAATCTTCTCAGAGTTTCTTCGTGAGTGACAGTAACGTGATGAGTCATTTGCACGATATTATCCATCAATGATATAATGTATGTAACTGCGTTTACTATGTTGTCGGAGAAGAAGCTTCTAAGTCCATCGAAAACATTAGCGGCTCTAGGAATGAAAAATTAAGTAATATTACGGACAGTTGAACATTGCTATCTGTAAAGAGTAGATACTTGCAATTCAAACTCATCCTTATGGTGATCCAATATTTTATTAGTGAGCTTGATACCATCCTGCAGGACAAGAAAAGACATATCTAATATCTGCGTGATATTTTCATAATTATCCGAATTCGAGGAGAAAGTCGATATTGTCCCGCGCAGCCGATCCATCAGAGTGAAGAAATCATCCGTGGAATTGCCTCCGCGGTTTTTCACAACTTCCTTCACCAGCTTCAGGAGTGTGTTTATTTTCAGAAATCCCCTTCGAGCGACCGGCCAATCTCGCTCGTATTCAAATACGGGATCGAGAACCGTGAGGGCTTTATTCATGCTGGAATTAAAGCGCCGCGCTCGTATATTCGTCGAGATATTAATATAAAGAAATTTCGCTTCGGGAAATTTAATTGGCAACTTAAGGAAATAAATCTAGTGACGAGACTTCGCAATTAGACTTACAAAGTCAGATCAATTTCCTTGAAGGTTACATTTTGAAAGATCAAGATTATTTTTGGCAGCCATTCACGGATCCTCAGGTACTCCGGTATGTACTTCTTGGACGTCTTCAAGTCGAGGATGGTCTCCGACGCCCGCTTCAGATCCTGGAAGAAATTGTAATCGCGAAATTTCGCCATCGCACGATCGACCATCTCCAATAGACCAGTAAAGTCCAGGTGTTTCGAAAGATTCTCCAAAATATCGGGGATTGCTAGCGAGTCGATGTTGCAAAGGACATTTGAGATCTCCGTGATATCCTCCTCGTCGGGTACAATCATATACTTCTTCAGGCTTTCCGGGGAGCAAATGACGCCGTCGATGTTAGACGAACCGAAAGTTTGGATTAACTGTAGCCGAAATAAAAATTAATAGAACTAACTTTTTTTTCCGCTGCAAAAAATACTCTAAGGAAGACGATATATGTACAGTTAGCGGTATACTTGTTCAAACTAATGTAATTACTTACGTATATTAATTTCACGGACGATTCGAATAAACCGTCGATCAAACCCTCCCTTGCTCTCGGCATATGAGATCTGAGTAGGCTTTTAATTTCCTCGTGATTGTTGAACAAGTCGCCCAAACGAATCCCCCTATCTATTGACATATTCAGGTGTTTAACTGCCGAAGTATCAAGTTAGATTTCAACTCGTTTGTTGTATGATCGTACCGAAAAGCGTCTTGATTTCCGGCTTGGTAAGTATTTGCGCCATTGACTTCAGCAGTTGGATACTCTGCGGCAACGTTTCCACAGCAGAGATGATCGTCTTGTTACTGAGCATCGGTTGCAGTTCCACGAGTAAAGGACCTAAGCTAATATCGCAAAGAGAAAAAGGGGAATCAACTATGCTTTCTCAGATTTCAACAGATGTAGCACATTGCGCAAAACTAACGTGGCGTTCTTGTACGAAGGCTCCTCCTCGTACTCTGACAACGGATCACACGGATTTCCGACGCTGCATATGTAATTCTGCACGAAAGGCAGAAGCCCGTCCTGCGGCATCGACCGCGCGGGAAACTGACACGTCAGATGATACTCCGTGTCGTCATTGTCGCGCACCGTGTAGAGAATCATAAAAGTCACTACTGGCCACAAAAAAATTAAGGCCAGAATCCCCTGAAATTATTTCGTACCATTTAGATGTGCTTGATAAAAGCAGATATCTCGTTAGGGCTCGGTTCGCATCAACGTCGCTTAACTTAAACTTTTTAGCTTAATTCATTCTTTGTCTCTTTCTAGGGGAATCACGAAAGAAAGAGACGAAGAGCGAATTGAGCCGAGGTTAAAATTCCGTGACGTTGGTCGGTGCAACCGGGCCCAAGTCGACTAACTTACTGGTTGTCTCTTCCGAATGATGTAGTTCTTCCAAAGAAGAAGCCCCAGCTGATCGACCCTCATCTTTAATGGAGCAGAGCCGTGATGTTACGCTACAAATTATTTCGAGGGATATTTAGCAGGATAGAGAGGTGATTTGCAATTAAATGTAACGTGAATGGCGAAGTGGTTTAAGTTTTAAATGTTATCCTAAGAAATGGAACAGTTAACCTTTAATACATTTTTCTTACTCCATTTCTATAAATATATCTCGTTCATGCGATTCCACGGATTCCTACATTTATATTTAGAATCTCAACACCTTTGCGATTACCTATACATATTATATCCAAGACATCGATTATCTGAACAAGCTTGAGGAAATGACACTTGGTTTACTGATTATTCGCACAAAATTTTCAGCACAGAGAAATGCCATTAGAAATAAATAAAACGTAATATAAATTGACAATCTCGATGCTGGGAAGAAAATTCGATATATCCGGACAATTGGGTCCTTCCTATAAAATATTGCCATTATTTAACAAATGTATCCAATTATTCATGCATTATAACTTCAGCTATTGTTTACGTAATCTAATTGTTACGTTAGAAAATCGTTGGAAATCGTAGCAACGCCTGACAATACTCGACAGGCGCTTACGAACCGACGGGATCTCGCTTGTAAAAAAAATAAACTGTACCGAAAACCCCGCGCGATACAATAGAAAGTTTCGCGAGCTCGCGTGCGGCCGCGCTAGTATACTTTTGCTGTCTAAGAGTGCTCGAAATGTGTGGAATCCACTTGAACCGAGTGCACTCGGAAAAATGCTGCCGGTGAATGGTGACCTATCAGAAAATTTTATCGCCGCATGAAGAAACAGCTGAAAATTTCTCACCGTTGCCGAGTTGCATTCATGTCTTACGTATCCATTACTAAGCAGCGCAATCATGCGAACAACACACCCGCGAATCCACTTTCATTGGCAATTCAGACTCGAGGTTACGCGGGGTAAATAACACTCCGAAATTGCCTCGTCGAGATTACTCGCGGCCGATTAAAATTAAATGATCCGCGCGACGCATCCGCACCGATATTTTATTCCAACGTTCACGTTGAGACACGAAATCTCTCGATGGTTTACGCTCTCCTTTATTGTGTTATCGTGACACTATCTACGCGATACCACACGGAGAGAATTTCTTCTTAAAATTTACCCCGAAATCATAATCATGGGACAACATGGCATTTTGAAGAGCTTTATAAGAGCTTTGTGAAATTTTCCCACACATTGTACTAGTAAAAGAAAATTTCAAAAGACTCTCATAAAATTCTTCGAGATGCCGCGTTGTCCCACGATTACATGATTTTCGGGATAAATTTTAAGAGAAACTTCTCTCCGTGTAATTATTTATATCATAGTACACATATATGTATATATATTTTACATTTTTGTTTTTGCAAAACAAAAATTCCATATTCACCATGTATCTTTCTGCTCAGACCGTCGTCCGCGAATGTCCCATCGACACTGTCGCTTGGTTCCACTATGGGAAGAATTCGATATTTCAATAAGAATGTGAATTGTGTATTGTCCTTTTGTGGCCGGAGATTCGCTCTGCCGGTCGTCCTATCTGACACACAACCCGAACTCGACTAGTTTTATTTGCCAAACTTTGAATACACGGCCGAATTTCGTGGTCTCTTCCAAGGCTCTTAGGAAAGCGTTCCACGAAGTCCGTTTTAATTATCCCAATATACATTAATTTGATCCCAGGTAAAGATTGCGCGAAGCAAAAATTAGCATCTACCGCAACGCGCGTCAGCGTCGTTTTGTCAGCTGCAGATTAAACCTGATTGCGTTAATTCGAAAAATAATGTTACAAAAGCATCACAAAAGCGGCGTCTCGCGGAAACGGGATGATAGCATTCACGCTTATCTACCGATATCGAAAATAGAATGTTTTATACTATGAGATTCAGCGTACATATATACATGAGCAGCGTGACTAATTTGCGTGTCAGTCGATGCAGCTGCAGCCGGAAGTGCGTACTGTTCTGTCGCGTGCTGCACTGACGACAGGATGCATTACAGAGATATGGAGCAGTGAACCGAGCGGTGGTTCTCGTGCAAGGATAAAATGCGTATCAGAAATAAATGTCCTGTCTGCATCAATTTCCTTCCGGGGAGAAATTACGAGTGCAAAGCAATGTACGCGCGAAGGCAGGCAGAGATACGAGGATTATTTATATCCAGTTATTAGCCGCATCTAATTTTAGTTTATAAACCAATTTGTTGCGCAAAATTATTAATATCTAAATATGTACAGAATGTATGTTATTATACGAACAGCGTTTATATTTTATCTTTTTTATCATCCTTCTTTGTAAAAGCTTTGGTGCAAATAGTCAGCGAACCAATCATTACTATTTCCTCGAACTTATTTAAATAATCGATGTCTCGTGCATGGCAGGTAGTATTATTGCAAAGTTATCGCGTAGATTCTAATATGCCTCAAACGAGTTGGCATTGCAAGAGAAATGATATTAGACAGAAAACTATTAACGCCAATATTATTTCTTTTTCACGAAAATCTACTGCAAAATTATACCCGAACAACCGAATAGTTACAACAATTCGGCTTAAGCTGCAGAAAGTCTAACGAAATTGCAAGTCATGGCAATCGAAAGCATTCAAATCCAATGCCGCATTTTATTAAGGAAATCTTTGTCGATTTCTTCTTCTTAATCGCGTGGCCTCCAAATTAATCAGCATTCGCAGTCGCGTACATGACGACCCGTCATTCGTACACGATTACATGAGTCCCTCATGAGATAACGAAGATCCGTAGTAATTATTGATTTGCTAATCCCGTCGAGGAATATATTATTAACGTAATCGCAGACGATGCGGCTGCACTTACAAAGAACTACGTGGTCGTAATACGATTGGCGGTGCACAAAAACACAAGCGTGCCGCCGTCTCAAATATTCTGCAACGCAGTCTGCATCCCGTGCTAATACACGGTACCAGTAATTGTAATACAACCAGTGATGAGATAATTCCTTCGAAAGGAAGAAGTAAAAAGGAAGTATGTTACACGGAGAGAAGTTTCGCTTAAAATTTACCCTGAAAATTATACAGGTATAATCGTGGGACATGGCATTTTGATGAACTTTATGAGAGTGTCTTGAAATTTTACCATACATTCTACTAATAAAATGTGTACTAAGTAGAATTACTAGTAAAATGTATGGTAAAATTTCAAAAAAACTCTCATAAACTTTTTCGAAATGCCACGTCCCACAATTACATGATTTTCAGGCTAGATTTTGGAAAGAAATTCTCTCCGTGTATACATTTTACTAGTAAAATGTACGGCAAAATTTCAAAAACTCTCATAAAATTCTTTAAAGCGCCGCGTTGTCCCACGATTATAAAACTTTATGGATAAATTTGAAAAGAAAATTCTCCTCATGTAGTATCGCATCTAGAATAATTTCTCGCGACAGAATGATTATTGCTATTCAATCAATAGAGAAAACAACTTATTCCACATTTCTTGCTTTCACAAGGAATCTTTTTCCAAGATCGTAGGACGATTTACTCAACATTTTATACATTATATATGAGCAGATAATGTTTTACTGCTAATGGAGTACAAACAGTACAGAAACGTTTGCGGAACACTTTGCGATGAGGCTCGACGGTATCGACGAGCGTTCGGCAAATACACAATCAATAAGATCAAAACCAGGCGATACCAAATATTACATAGAACATTGTATAGATATTGTAATAGATAATCGATACGGTATGTTAAAATTATATGTTTCCTCTGAAGCACAGTGTTCCTCAAATTACGTACTTTGCTATACACGAGGTTTCTACACCCAGAAAATGTTTCTTTGAAATCAAACAAATTTTCTTTGAATTTTCACCTTACTGTACTTTTTATTTCATTTCAAAGAATATATTTCTTTACTTTAACCAAAATTTTATTTAATCAAGACTGAAATTTCTAAGAAAATTCATATCTATTTCTTCACAACTAGCCAATGTTTTAGTAGAGGTAAATAAAAATTTAGTAAACTCGAAGAAACATGATTTTAACGTATCACATTTGTTTAACCTAAATAAATCTTTTTTCTGGGTGTAAAAGTGGAAGAATACAGCTGATAGCAATTTTAATACAGCGGTGCACAGCTGAACAGTTCTTACATAACTCAATTAAAGTCATCTAAATCAAAGTAACTGAGAATGTTTACGACTAAAAAACGTATTACTTTATATCCACGTATCTTTAAATGTGCTTGCGAATCTATCAATTCGATTGTTCACAAATCGAGATGATGAGGCTAATAGATTTTTTGTTACTTTGTCTGCTCATAAATTTGCAGGCCATAAGCACCGTGAAATACAACTTCTTTGAGAAACCATTCAGTGACCGTGAATCACGAGCCGGTTATTACCGTTTACATCACCGAAGCGCGAACGAACTTCTGATTCTGCGGAAAGTTGAGCAAGAAAAAGGAGACATTCCGATCCGCGCCCAGAGAGATTCGTTTATTAACACTCCAAGAACAACGCGCACTTTCACTGGTCCCGCGCGGCGTACAGTTATGTGATTACGGTCGTCGTTACGGCGTCCGAATAAACCCGAATGATTTCGTAACAATCGCCGCGTTCGACACGAGTAGACTTGATGATGCCTTTTTTTATGCGCATACGAATAAGATCGTGCTACAAATCGAAGTGCCTGTTTGCCTTACAGACACGACGCTCAAAGTTCGTCGCTTCCACAAAAATCATTAATCGTGACTTTATCCACATCACTTTTTTCCTTCACGGACAATAGCGATCGTCGATGACGCGATGCAACAGCCTATCGGCCAGACAGATCGACAAACAGTAATGAACTTTGGTTGCGATTAATGTAGCTACAAAAACGAGGCAGTGTTATAGCAGCAATAAATCAAGTTGTTATAAATTAATTAATCTAGACGTCGCGGTCGCAACAAAGAGTCGGATCAAGGTGTACGTCGCGCCGCACTTCCTCTCGCGGTTCCGGGTGAAAATCCGCGATCTGATTATTAATATGTGCGGCGCGGCCTGTAGCCCGAATACGCGAGTGTCGTTGGCACGTAATTATTACACGCGGCAGTGACCATTGTTGCGACAATGTGATAACGCAACTGCAAGACGGTAACGTAAGTTTCATTTCATAAATGTCCTCCCATGCAGTAAAATGATGTAGAGATTTTTAGTTCCTACCAGAATACACTGAAGTCAACGATTATTGACCGATAAAGTAAACGCCCGTACCTTTAACATTAAAATGAAATATATCGAAGGACGTGACGTCGCTTTAGAGACGGCGTAAAACTTTCTTGTCTCAAATGCCAGAGATGTCGCAGTAATTTGACGAATATTCAGTTTGAATCTTACTTAATCGTCGTGCAAGTGTGTCGTATTAAAGTTTTCGCTTTTACTTTTACGTTTCCACATATCTCGAAGTCAAGCAGGATTCAAAGTTCAAGGCCGCCGTCAAGTATCGAGAGACAATCGTGACTAAGCAAACTAATCTCGCTCTGCCGCTCAGCGATTAATTCATAAAGTACTGTATAAACGTACGTTCTCAAAATATCTGTCTGAAGACGAAGTACAAGGTTAACAGGCACGCACACGTATAGAAATCGAGCATGTAAATTTGTAATTAGCATATATGGCACAGATTTATGAATATATTGCGGTCAAGTACGTAATCAATGATATTAACACGTTCCTTCTTAAATTTCGTAGGCGTTTTATCGAGACGTGCGAAAAGTGTACAATACTAAAACCATATGTATGAAACTGCGCAAAAAAGACCTGCCGACGTCTGCACTAAACGTCAAAAGTTGTATATACTCGTACATTTATATTTTATACGAGGCTATAAATAATTAAGTATTCAACGTGCGTCTTATCGTGTTCTCAGACACATTAAAAAAGTAGCGAGCGTGTGAACAATACACTCTCTATTTCTTTTTTTATTCCGTTAGCCTTCGTGGATCTTGGACTTGCGCGTTGCTTAAACAAGAAAATATTGTTAAGTCCGGCAAATGAGATTGCAAATAAAGTAAACGTAAGGAGGAGTGATTTAGAGTACTAACCGCAGTTTTTTCCGCACAAACGTCACCGCATTATCTCACGAGGGGCAGCAATAAGTTCAAGGCCGCTAATAAAGTTACATAAAATGTCAGATGCCCAAGGCGCTTGATATGAAATCATAAATATATATTTTTTTTTACACAATATTTCTTGGATAAGGAGACAAATTACGTTCGAGAAAGGAAAAGGAAAAAGTGGAAAACGCGCTTGGATTTCTCAGGAGCATATAATTTACGATATGCAAGGATGAGAAATCGGTGTGGAAGACTCGGACAAGGAGCGACACAGGTCTCGAACGGGGTCTGCGTCTCGCGCGGACGCGTTGACAATTAATCTCGCAGAGCAAACGGGCCGTGAGACGCGGAGATAAAAAGAGATCGTCCATCGAGTGTCGTTGATTGCCTTCGCAATACCATCTGCGTTTGACAGATGCGAACTCGGCTTTCGCGGCGTAGGTACACGTGCATCGCGTGTGAATGGCAAAAGTCTTTTACAACGGGGAAGTTCAGGGTCGCGTGCGAACGCACAAAGTAACCACGAAGACACGAGGAAGAAGTGCATCCTTGCTTTTCTCGGAAACGTTCGCTTCGCCGGCAGCCGGTCGAGCAAGTTTCCCGAGCGTCTGTCGACGAGGATCCTCGAGAGGAGAGAAATACTCCTATTTACAACGAACGAAGCTAGCTCGCATTTTTCCACGGGACGCGAACGAGGGCGCGGGAACACGACGCCGTGCAACGCGAGTCGCTGGTTTCGCGAATTTCGAAAAGCGACCCACTCTTTAAGAATCAATCGGTGAATTATCACTGGAAACAGCGAACAGTCGCTGATTTGCAGTTGTAAGTGTATACTACTGAAAATTGCAGTGGTGCACTTAATAACTGTAAATCATTGATGATCCGCTGATTGACTTTCAGAGAGCAGGCGGCAGCTGACTTGTCGTAATTTGCTGTCATTTTGCTGTCAAAACAACGTTTCTACTGACGAATAACATCAGCTCGCTGTTTGAGGAGAGACGAGGTGCGCGACCGATACGTATTCTCCAAAGCAGCATCGGAAGCAGAGTACAGATTATTAGCGGCGGATTGTGCAAGATTAAACGAGATGATTTTTTTGCAAGGACACTAAATGCTCACGTGATTCACGCTCGATGAATATCTAAGTAATACTCACGTACATCGCGGAAAAATTAAGGTCACAATAATACCATTTCATCGTACCTCTATTTATTAGCACGAAGATATTGTGTGAGATATTCTTCAGAGATAGCAATTATCTTTATTTTAATTCTCCCGCAACTAACAGCACGTAACAATAGTTGGAAATAGTGGCAAAGTCTAACGCACGATTCCGCTGCCGACTCTCGTATTATAGTTTAATTATCAATTAATAATTCACCCGTGATTATATTAACGACCAATGCGCGTGAAAATAAAAAGAACCGCGGTCATCGTCGAGTAAATAGTTACATCATCGAATAAACATTAATCTGCATAAGATAAATGCGTATCGCAAGAGATCCTTCAGAAACGGCAGCTACCAACAACTTTATATGTTAAAAGCTATAATTGCTGTCTTTTGTTTTTTTCCTCTTCATTTCTTTGCAAGTAGCGGTAAAGAAAAATTTACATTATGTACTCACAGCCTTGAGGCGAGTGATCGCCTTGCCTCCACGTTTTGCCCAAAGTCTATAAGAAGCTAAACAAGCAGCGGCGATTTATCCTTATCGAATCACGCGATCGATCAGATCGCATAAATCACGGACAATTGCGTAATCGCGTAGCACAGACCACGATCAACGATCCCCGCGGAGTTCGGCAACCCTTTCGGAGCACATCTCTCTCTTTCTCTGTCTCGCGCGCGCGCGCGCGCGCGCACACACCCCGGATGATGGAGAACTGAAGAACAACTTGCTTCAGCGGGACGCACCGAGGATGCACCGGCGAATTACCCGGTCGCGGTCAACGCACAGAACTCACACGGATCCACGAATGAAAGCGAACTTGTCCCGACGGCTTGTTTTCTTGTTTCGCGTTTTTCCCAGCTACTCTCCTCGCGGCGGCGGCGGCGGCGGCGGCGGCGGCGGCGGCCGGCGGAGATGATGACCGACGTTCATGCACACTTGAACGACGGCCGGGGGACGACTGTTGCCACTACCGTGATCCACGACCACGTGGACCTTCCAAGTGGCACACACCATCTCGTCTGCCGCGTGTGCGTGCGCGTATACGTAAGACAAGTACAAGCGAATCCGCGAGCGAGCGTGCGAACGGCCGATCGTGAATCGTTCCTTGATCGACCGATCGAGTGCGAAGCAGTCAGGGAAGATTGTTAAAGATACATATAAGGCGGAGGAAGACGCTTCGACGACTTTCCTCGCTGATCGTGTTTAATCGACGATTAAAGATGCACGTCGAAATGTTTCCTTTCTAACGACTGCGAAAGTCCGGCTGATAATTCACGCACTTCTCCTCCCGAGGGAACAGCTTATTTCTAATAACGAGAATCTGGTCACAATCTGAACAGTAGATGCGCGATGATTGTTTCGTTAATTATATCTTGACGCAAATCTTCAGGCCGCTGTTTACAAGAATGCACGTCGATCCTTGTGATACACATGCGGAAATTTACCCGGTCTTGGTAGTGACATAATTATTTCGAGGAGGAGAAAAACGAACGTACGTCGTCGTGATTTTCCGAACACACGTATCGCGGTACGTGCGCGGAATCGCGCGAGAAATCACAAATCCCCGTGAGAAAAATGGCGAATTCTACATTCCGATCGCGTGTGGAGTACGGAGATGCCCCACAGCGGCATTATTCTCAATATCAATCTATCTCGTTTAATTTATAAGTACATCGCAGTGTCTAGCGCGATAAATCCAATGGACTAGCGGCCGGATCTTCAAAGTATACTGCAACGTATTCGGTTTGTTGAACCTCATTGATTCGGCGACCAAGTTTCGAAGAAATATTCGGTTCGCCGTGAACGACAACGCGATCTATTTATCAAACAATCGCGAAGGCCAACGGCAGGATCGATCGACTGACCTTTTGATTGCTTCAAGACTATGCTAATAGCGATTTCCATGATGACGACGGTCCGGCGACTCGTGACGATTTAGCATTTAAACCTGCGACTTGTCGATTCAATGTTAAAATGTAACTGCAGGGAAGATACGAGATGAAATAAAATAACGTTGCACGTCTGTCTTCTGGAAATTTTCGGTATCAGGGCGAAGCGCTTTCATGAATAATTAATTAAATCGTCAGAATAAAGTTGAATTAATTACGACAGTAATTATATGCATAATACGTGATATGCATAATACGGAAATCTCATTGTGGCATAATATGATCGTTTGAAGATCCGCAAATTTCATGTCATTTTGCAGTCTCTGTTATACGAACACGCGCGTCGTTAATTAAATCGCGATTTCGAAGGGATATTTTTCACCGGGGGAGTTATCGTAGGCAAGATAAATACAATCATTTAGATTTCCCCGTAACAATAACACAATACACCTCCCTTTTGCGCCCTCGTTTTTACAATTTCAAGAATAATTATTTCACGTCGCCTGCTCAGAAGTGGTATATGTTATTGTCACAGGATGCTCGTTATCGGTGCAGTTCCGCTGCTCCCTGCACTTGTTACCTCGAAGACGAAAGGAAAGCGCGCAAAAAAGGAAGACTTCTAAAACGAAAGTACGCAACTCCCGATATAATTAATCAGCGAGATCGGCGAGAAATAAAAATCCGGGGGAGGGGGGGAAATTAATAAAAGATTTCTTCGAAGTCCACACACTTCACCTTTAGATCTCTGAAAATTGCAGCTATCTCGAAGCCATTTCGCGCACACACGCTTTTGCTTTAGTAATTAAATTTGTCCGTTTGTACGTCATTATAAAGTAATCTACGAAACTAGAAAATGTTCGCGATAAAATTAGACATATCTTCTTTTTCATGGGAAAGCCTCCCGTTAAACGGGACGTTATCTTTGAAAAATAGCCGCGAAGTTTTTTGCTACCTGTGAAAATTGTCAAATTGTTATAACAGTATGGCTCCGAGAGATATAAAGTTTTTATATTACTTTTAGAGCTGAGAGAACGTTGGGCTGAGCCGCGGCGCATAACGCACGAGTAGATAGAACGCCGACTACCTGTGGCTAAATCAGAAAAAGAAAAGAATGGAGGAGGAGAGGCGAGATCCCCGCGTTTTTTTAGGGTACATCTAAAAATAGGGCTGGCGTATTTTTAAAAAGCGAGCAAACACGCGGAAACCGGTCTGGCAAAAGCGGACGCGGGTCGGACATCACATTTCACCTCTGATGGAAATTGAGGAGTTGAAAATGAAAATTGAAGGATGCTGAGATTGTTCTGTGTTTCAAGAATTAAGTCGGCGCGCAGTTCTAGTTTCGAAAACCGTCACGAAAGGTGGCACTCGGGAAATAATATTAGACTGTCTATCGCGAAAAAATATTACCAGAAGTCTCAGTGGTCGAACTGAGACGCCCAGTTAGGGAGAGAGCGAGGTGCAGGCTCAAACTCCAGCCAAGTTAATATTTTTCGTAATAAATTTATATTAAAATTAGTTATTGGACACTAACGCCTTGTCACGCCTCTTATCCGTCTTATTCCTTCGAATTGATGTAACACATCCTTATGCATTTATGGGGAAAAAAAGATTTTTCGACACGGTATTAATCCTTGCGATGATTAGGCAAAGATTACGCATATACAACATAACCGCGTACATGCGCGTATTACCAATAATTGTTTACGTGTAAATTGGCATAACGTTAATTATGATACCATTAGGGAGCATCGCAAACATAATTTACCAGATGATCGAGGTACCATTTATCGCTTCGCGATAGCAGCCGCGAGGGGATGTAACATTTGCAGTGCACGCGAAAGCGCATTGTACGTGAATAAATAATAATTTTATAAATGGTTGACGAGTCTACAATCTGACTATTACAAGAGAATGGAATGTATAAAAAAAATACAAATTTTACAAGAGATCCACGTTTCCATTAGCGATCCTTTCATTCGTGGCAACCAAAATTATAAGAATACACAATTTTGTAATTTTTTAATTGACTTAGCCGTTTCTCAATAAAATATCCGCTCTCGATTAATTTATTTTCCATTATAACACCCGTCATAATTCCCATCGTAATATTAATTTGTTATTGAAATTTAACAGACGGAAATTAAAACCGCTATGGAAAAGACATTACTTATACATCGGCCATTAAAAACAGATTTCGCTTCTGCGTAATGGACTAAAATTGATTGCTATAAATATCGATGTCTTATGTAACTGCATTATTGCAGCCGTTACTGAATGTCTGGCTGTTATTAAATTAGCTTCACAGTATAATTATCTGCATGACTCACAAAATAGACAAAAGAGACAGCACAGATTAACTCGATATTTGCCTTGATATAATAATATTATATACTTTTACGCATATAATAATATATAACATTGTATATTATTATATGCGTAAAATTATATTAATAATATTGTTATTCAATAACGATGTTACATCTTAAACCGGGGCAGAAATAATTCCGCCGTTGTATAAGAAATGAAAACGCAACTCCCGCACAGGGTGTTTCGCGGAGAATTGTTCTACGCGGACAATAGTTACTTATTTGCTCGAAATATTATGTGACACCACCCCAGATTCTCCCATAAGCGTTCGCACGCACACGGTCATCGAGAGTTAGCAGAGATAAGACGAACAGAGCCGCGGTGAATGGTATACCTCATTAGCCGACTTCTCACGTGCTTCCGCGATGGCGTCAGATGTTCCGCGTGTTGCACCGATCGGTCGCAGCCCCACGCGTTGCGACGTGTCGCTTGATAATATCAAGTTGATATATTACAGGGCGAGTATTATTCCTTTGCGAGGAGCGATTTTATTAAATTTCCCGGCAATCTGTCAAGCAGGCTACGCCGGTTTGCCCCTCGACAATCTGCGACGTCCCGTCCTCCGGAGACTGCAGCCACTCGCTCGCGGACGAGAAGTTACGAGGAAGAAGAAGAAGAGACACCGGAGCGGATACTCAATAAATATTCCAGGACGCGCATTAGATATCCGAGTGTCTTGCGATATTCAGATTTATGGATATTTGTTATTGCTACCGTGCTTCAAGTTCCCGAAAGTCCCGTAACGGAGAGTTTCCTGCGCAGCTAACCGGGCACGGGGCACGGGAGTTTTATCGCGAAATAGATCAATAGACCGGGACGCTATAGCGAGCATCGATCGTTCGCGCTTCGCCGATTACGAGAGCAATTGGGAACGGAAATACGATCGCGGGAAAATTCACTCGTGGGGCTCGAAATAAATACGCGGCACGCGGAGAACGCGTTTGCGACAGTCGTATTAAGCGCCGCGACTCGAACGATACCTCGATCCACCGTGAAGTGTTTTTTCCGGCCGCAATTTAGTGGACACTCCACATCGGCAATTAGGTATTATACCTCCAAGATTAATAACATCGGAGGCATTGCGTAAATCCGCGAGCGCGACTTCGTCCTTCCGTTCTCCAGAACGGCGTCCCTAGTGCTTTACACGCGCGATTTATCCATTCTCTATCTCAAGATAGTTTTCTATCTCGCTGGTGGAACGCTGCAAAGAGCCGGGAGCAACGAGTGATTCATACAATGAGCGATCGTGAAAAGTGGGTTATCGTAATCGTGAGAAAAAGGAGAGACGTGTACGAAATCGAGCGATTTCCCCCCCCCCCCCGACTCTTAGCTTAATTCTTAAAACGGAGTCTACGTCTGTTTCAATGGGCTGGCTTGAACTTTCAGACACTAACGAAACTGCGAGCGAATAATCAGACGGCGCATTATCTTCATTTTATGTCGTTGCACTCGATTGCGACAGGACGAGCTCTCTTTCTACGGGAATTCCGTAGATTGCTCGGAAAAAGAATTGACTGAACGTACTCGACGGGCGGGACCTAACGCTGCAGAATAAATCGCTATCTCAAGCCTGGAATCGTAATTAAACTCCTTGCACGCGCTTCTAGATGTATGTTTTTCGCACGCTGTACGAGCTTTTGCATCAGCTATCAAAATCCAATCTTACATTGCGTTACCATCTCTCGTACTTACTTACTTAATTATATAATCGAGAAGTTGTATCACTTGTTAAATACCGCGTATATATTTATCGCACAAATATTTATACTCACTTTTGCACGGCTGTTACTTAAAGTGTGTCAAGTTGTTCCGTGCCCGTTAGAAAATTGTTACACGCGACGTTAGTTCGTCTTCTCCTCGAGAGAAAATGTAATAACGAGCGCTAAACAGGAAAACCGGGATGGGACCCAAAGTATTAATTTATGCAAATTGTAGTCGACAGCGACTGCACGTTGCGAATGCAAAAAGTTCAAATAAACAATAAAATTGTATAAGTGAGTAAATGAAGTGGCGTCAAGTTCGATCAATTATTTAAAGATCTCTTGATATCCTACTGAAAAATATTAATGACTGAATATATTATGGTGATTAAGTCATACGTGTCTGTCCACTCGGACATCCGTGCGTGTCGGCTCGCTCACAATCTTGCGCTTTGCGCGATACGGAATGTAATCTAACGACGCGCGATCATTAAGCGAAATATCAGAAATTAGCTGTAAACGCGTCCGATGAACATATCCTTCGTGCACACTCCTGGTAATTATGTCAAAACACTTCTCGATGGTACACAATTACGTAAACGAGTGTCGTACGTCATTGAAGATATTATCGAATAGAACTTCCGGCTCCGGAATAAGTGATACGCAGAAACATGTAGAATTGACAGTCTTGAAGTAATTTGCAAACCGCCTACCTAAGGAGACATCGTCTGCAAAACAAAATGGTAACATCGAGGAGGCACCCAGACGCAACCACCAGCGTGAGCTGTTGCTCGGAATGTGGAAATTTTGCTTGATATAACGTCTTTCTGGAATAAAACTTATTCGCAAAGTACATATCTGTCCAGGGTATGTTGTTCACCGTCAAGAATGTTTTCTTCAATGTGTTCATTTTATTTGTGCATATTACATTTCGTTCTTCTTCCTGTCAAATCCCTCTCGATTTTATCGTATGTTTAAATGTGGAAATTTCGCGCAAAATTGCTAGATATTAGATTTAAAGAAATTTTATTTAAATTTTATTTAGTCTATCTATGTCCGGAATGAAAAATTAGAATTAGCTACCTTTCTTGAAATTTTGTAATGTACAGCATGCCACTCGCATGTGTTATATGTGCCCTAAGTGGCCCGATCACGTCGCCGAAAAGACAGATGGACAGGACAACAATGATCTGCGAGAAGCGAAGAAAATTATAATCAGTGATGCGGAGTTATCAATACTTCCGGGAAACTGCGTGTCCGGCCGATGATTAAGTGTCACGAACGCTTTTATTGTTGTCCATGAACGCCGGGGCCGCTATAATTATTATTAATAAACTTCATTTATACTGGCATTGATGTTTGTTATTATGCGACAGCAATTCTATACGGCAATTTCGTTACGTCATTGCAAGAATAATTCTTGAAGTAATCTTTATCTGATAATCTAAAAATTACAGAGAGAAAGAGAGAATAAATATTAACGTATATATTTCAACAACTATGCTAGTGTTGTATTTCATATTTATCACTTATTATCATAATTATAAACAAAAATAAATATAAAGTTATTGCGTTTAATTTAATAGTTGAAATAACAAGAGAATTTTTTGTATATCTTATATCTTTTACTCCTTGCGTTCGGAATTTTTTACTTTTTGAGATGTGGAAATTTTCCATTTTTAACAAAATCTTACTGCTTTCAACTAAAGCACCAAACACTCGAGACCATCTAATCAGAGTCTGGACAAGCGATATCCAGCTTCTGATTGGTTCGCCATGTTTATTTTCCCACTGAATTTTGAATTGACAATTTAAATCTAATTTTATAGTTTGTTACATTTTTTTGTAAATTTTACATTTACAAACGACAGGTTATCGTGATTGATTTTGATTATTTTCACGCGTATCCCTTTGTCGAGGTGTTATTGCAAAATGGTGCTGCACATCCATCCATTTTTGCAATAAACAGCAAACTCACACTATTATGAAACTTCGTGCGATTTTGACTAAACATGGCGGACAACTCTGTTGGCCAGACTCTGATTAGAGGATCTCTAACTAAAACGTACACGACGCGGCATCTACCGTTTGAAAGAAGAATCAGGATAGACTCAAAAAGAAACTTGCGATAGACAGTATTGCAGATTTTATTAATGAATCGTTCGACAGATAACAGTTTGATGTTACTGTCGGCGATAAAGATTTATCAGTAATATGTTATTGCTTAAATTAAGAATCGATTCACGTTTGATTGTGAATGCAATTTTAAAATAATCTTTTATTCAACAAGCTTGCAAGCCTGTAATACTTAATTGAATTTTTGCAATAACATTGTAAATCAATTAAACCGTGTTAATGATATTAAAATTAAAATTTTAGCACAACATTTTTAATTTACACAGAGGCTGCTAAAAGAGATATTGAAAACTATCTTGTCATATTTTTATCCTAATATCTGTAAAAAAAGTTTAAAACTTTCCATTTCGATATGTTTTTACATAATCTGCAAAATTTATGTAAATGAAGTGAACATAACATGTGTATAGCGATAAGTTTACTTACATACAATGTATGCAATAATTTAATATACAATATATACATATCGCATCTCATACAGTGTAAATAAAACTATCGATATATGTACACAATGTATGTACATAAAATTATCGTTATGCGTACAATGTACATAAAATTATTTATGTATGCTTATTTATAAGTACATATGTAAATGAGTAGAATATTTTTAATCATTGTATTGTTTTCACATTTTTATCTAAAAATGTTAATAAACTATATTTAAAAATCATTTCCGTGGAGATTTTGCTTAATGGAGATTTGCATAGAATGGTTTATTAAATAAATTGCTTTCGCAGTCAAAGTATCAAAGTAGTAATGTTAAGATGTCTTTATTAAAAAGAAAATGTATTTTTATTTCTCATTAAAAATGCTATCTATTATAGAAAATTAATTAACTATATATTCAATATCACTAACTATATATATACATATATACATATATACACTTATAGTATACTAAATTATTCATATATATTTGTAAGAATATCCAAAAAGACTTCATTTATTGATTGTAAAAATAATAATTTATATTCGTGAAGAGAGAGCAAAGTCTAATTTTTGTCTTTTTAATAATAGTCATTTACTTAAACTGCATAATGTAATTTATGTATAATAAAATTATTTCCATTGTTATTTACACACCGCGCGTTTTAAAAACGTGGAAATGTAAAGGTAAAGATACTTTTAACCCCAATAAACCGATAACGTTTTACAGAACCGATTTAACATTTAAGAAACTATCTATTACGAAATTCTTATCGTTATCGTAAGAGCGTTTTGTTTTGGAATTCTTTCGATAACAATACTGTCATTATACAAATAAATCTGAACGACGAATCGAGCGTTAGTCGAGCGCCATCCACCTCTTCGACAACGTGCGTCGCGCGTGGTCTCTCGTACAACGCGATACTCGATAATCGTACTTAAAAAATCTCAACTTTTCGAATATTTCAAATAAATTACTAACGTATATAGTATATATAGTCTAATAATTGGTTCAATACTTAAAACAAATTAGAGCAATTATTCTATTTACTGAAACGAAGAAAAGAAATATCGAATATCTCGTTAAACCAGAGTGTTACTTCATCTACTTCTCTTATCAAGAATAAACACACTTGGAGAATGTCTTGCCCAATGAGCAGTGTTGAGTAAGTAACATATTTTTCGTTCATCAATACTCATAGATACATACGACACATATCCAGTATTCTTTATTGCGAAAAATTACAGATAACGATCGTGAATATTTTACACATGAAAAAAATACTATATGTACACCTCGAAGGTTTCTCTAATCCTTTAGCATTATTAAAACATACTCTCTGAAATAAGTTCTATCTCAGAACGAATATCGAATTTAAAAAACAAACTTTCAAAAGCAGTGTTTTCACATAATTTCGAAGTGTAGGGAAGATTTTGGTTTGGGGGAAGAGAGGCTGTGGGTGGGCTGGATGGTCGGAGCCGAAGTCAGAAAACGTAAAAGAGAAGCTAAGTCTACTAATTAAAGTCTTCTACTCTCCGGGCGCGTGAGACCCGTCAGTTTTCGGTGCTGGCCGGGACGGGACTGCCCGCTCGCCAGAGGAGAGCTCCTCCTCATCCGTTACATCTCGCATCGTTTTCCGAAAATTGCAAAAGATCACCAACGACGAGATTGTTTCTAACGGTATTGCCTCACGGGGAAAAATGCTTGTATCGACAAGATAAGTATGTAGAACGTATTTTAGTTAAATCAAACAAAATTTCTAGTTATCACGATAGGGCTCGATATTTTATAACCAGAAGTTTGATAGACTTCACTACAGATCTAGCAAATCCTAAAGAAATTCTGATTCGTCCACTTTCTGACAGACGACTGGTTGAATCTACCAGATTTCTTATTAATGCAACCAGATATTTTTTCAGTACTCGAATGTTCTAGAAAGCCTACACTGAGAAAAATGCTTTAATTGTATCAACAAGACATGTATGATAGGATGTATTTTGGCTAAACCAAACAGAATTTCTAGTTAGCACGATAGGGCTCGATATTTCATAACCAGAAGTTTGCTAGACTTCACTACACATCTGGTAAATCCTAAAGGAATTCTGATTCGTCCATTTTCTAACAGACGATTAGTTGAATATATCAGATTGTTTTCAGTGTATAGAAGAATCTATAAGTTCTTAAATTAGTTATGATAAAGTTATGATGAAAGCACTTTAAGACACATTCGTCAAAACAAATTACATTAAACAGTTTATCATCATTCGATTTCATCATGTTCTAATCAATCACGTGTTTCCTCCGTGCGAACATGTAAATCAATGACGAACTATCTGTTGAAGAAAGGATAATCGGAATGATCAGGCACAGCAGGATGAGATAACGCCAAAATCGGCGTTACAGTATGGCGATTATTTGTGTTTAGACAAGATCTTGACTGCGCAAAGGCTTCTTAGCGACGAACATGGCAATAAAGTGCACGACGAACATCTTTTTATTATCACTCATCAAGGTATGTTACTAACAATTTATGTTTCCTACGTGCATAATTCGGCAATGGGTTTCCCTTTCCTTTCCCTATGCCACGACAAAAGAATAAAAAGAGCAAAATATCTTTATCCCTTCACTTATCACTTCATTATTTTCTTTATATGAATTTTGTTTCAATAACGTGAAATCTCAATAATTATTTATTTAATGTCTCTTTTCAAAATTTTAAATGATATTTTCAAGAAAAAGAAGACAATAAATAATCAGTTTGTCAAACTAATTGTAAGTGAGACTTATAGAAAATTTTTCAAATAATACTTTCAATACTTTTTCTATTAAAAAGTTGTGTAGAACAAAATTAAGCAATGTTATACTACAACTCGCGAAATTGATCAAATGTATTACACAATAATTATCTACGGGTGAAGGGGGTTTCGATTTTTCAATAACATTAATTTAGAGATAAACGTCTATGATGTTGCAACGGATATGTTTTTGTCGAAGCTTCGAAAGAAATTTGTACACTCTAAAGAATAGTGATGTGAACTTTCACCACATTCACGTAGTTAAAAATAACTCGGTGTCAATTTTCACACCGATATTGTAGAAAATCTTTCACACCGACAAACGCGGTGTCAACTTTGATGCTATATTGTTTAGTTTTCACGACATGCGATGTGATCGCAATGTTAATTTCACATCGATAAGGTGAGAATTATATAAGCACCTGAATGGGTCTTAATTTCACACCATTGGTGACAATTCACATCCATATTTCTTAGAGTGTACCAATGATACGCGCGATTAAATCAATTTCGTGAGTTATTGTGCATATTTATAGATCTTATATTTGAATAGCTATTTTATTAATTCAGTTAGGTGGATTATTTTTCGCAACGTTTATACCATTCCAATTGTATCGTTGCATTTCGTTGTAGCGTACGAGCTTTGGTTCAAGCAAATTATTTTCGAGCTCGACTCCGTTAGGAGCCTCTTCAGCTCCGAATCCAACAATTGCAATGGGTCCAATGGGTCTTCCAACGATCATTCGGCCGCCAACCACGGCAATGGAATTTCTCACGTTCTGAAAGAGTCGAAAACCCTGGAAATCCTCAAACGATTGCATCGCATTGGGCTTATTCTGAAGGTACGTTCAATGTACCTACGCGACTCCCTCAAAAAAGGTTCTCATACGAAATGCGATTTTACGTAACGTTGTCTAACAATAGAATATAATTAAAGCGACAAAACTGAATAATTTTCTTATAGAAATCCGCTTATTTAATAATAAAGGCAATGGCGATGCAAGGTGAACGGCCCTTAATTACAAGCCGATTAGCTCGCCACATAGCTTGTGTGCGTGTCCCTTTAATCAAATTTTTCTGTCTCGCCAGACAAAGCTGTTTACTGTCGCGACACTTTCTTAAGAGAAAGCATCCTCTTACGTATTTCGAAAACATCGAACGTACAGCACTCCGTGCTACCGGACGTATTGAGTAACAAACTTGGATATATTCTTTACGTCACTTGCTTCTTCGCGATAAACTAGATCGATAACATTTCGTAACGGCCGGGGCGTATCAAGTGCGCGGCGCAACGCGAAAACTTTTCTTTCCCGATTTAGGCACGATGCGATAAATAAGACTGTGGGAACCGCACAGGAACCCTGCGGGGGCTCAGTAAGATAATATTTCTAGACGATATGCGACACCGTGGCGCTTATGCGTGCATTAAAGGGAGAACGGAGAAAAGTTACGTTAGGTAACAAACCCGTTATTCTATTTCAATACCGCAGAAGGTGCGGTCGTACCTTTCTTTATTTTGATTCGATAAAACGTCCCTCCGCGATACTGTATTCGCGATACGCACGAGCACGTAATATCGAGTGTCTCGAAATAGAATTATGCTCGAAGCGACCAACACGTGCGAGCAACTTGTCTTTAATACTCGCGAATTTCTCTTCAATATGTTCGGAAACAAAATGCGATTTCTAATCTATTTGTCTGTACACGAGTGAATGGAAATTCACCGACTGTATTGAATTGAAATTCACAAATTGTAAGATAATGTCAAAGTTTTGTCAAGAAAAATCATTCTCGCGTTTACTAAAAGTAGTTACAGCTATGCTTATTTCCAGATGCACCTTGCGATGTATTGTAATATTAACGTGTTATGTCGCTCACGCACCCCTTGCTCGCACCGGCACCCATAAAAGTGCGAACGCAGCCGCGTTGACAAATCGATGAGAACATTTCAAGATGTTCTTTCGTAGTTACAAGTTCAGTTGTTTCCATTTGATCGCGTATTTTACGATTAATAGCGAAATTTATCTTCTTTTCTTGTTCAAAATGCAGATTATTAATCTTATTTAATTAAAATTGTTAATCTTATTCAATTTGGTGATTGCAATCAAGATAGAATAATAGCATAATATAAAAACAATCGGGTACATTTATCAATGTAATTTGCCGTCGCAGAATTCGATCGTGTCGCTTCCTTTTTCGTTTAAACGAATTGAAAATGCGGACAATTATAATAAATTCATAAATATACTCATTTACAAATGATTTGCAGTTATTGGTGGATCAAGTTACAATTCTGGAAACGATGACGCCGTTGGATTTCATGGAGTTTAGGGATCTGTTGTGCCCGGCCTCGGGTTTCCAATCCCTGCAATTCCGTCTACTGGAGAACAAACTGGGCGTAAAACAAGAGCTCAGATATAAATACAGTTACGTACAGATCTTCAAAAATCCCGAGGCCATCGAGGCGATCAAGCGATCTGAGGAAGAGCCTAATCTCTGTAGTCTGATTCAGAGTTGGTTGAGCAGAACGCCAGGGCTCGAGCCACACGACTTCGATTTCTGGGGAAAGTATAAGCGATCGGTGGACAGGATGCTTACCGAGCAAGAACAAACCATACTTGTAACTATCCCCGCGACCACTAATCTTGTAACTCATAATATTGTATTAAATCTGGTGTCTCTTATCCCTTCGACAATTTCGGTAATCAATTCTCTCTGGGAAAATCTAAAATAATGGCAAAACAAGAATTGGAAAACAAGAATTTTGCCTTTCATAGCTGAAGATCAAGTTACGGAAGAGCGAGCGCAAAAGAATCCGTCTAAATACACGCGACACCTGTTCTTTCTTTTACTTTTGAATTTCAAGACGACTAGCTCACGGTTTGTCAAATTTTCAGAAGTCGGACAAATGCGTCAACAACAATAAGTTGAACGATATGTACAAGCGCAAGCGAATACTTTTCGAAAGCATTTTCAACGAGTCGCACCACAATGCTCTCGTCTCACGTGGGGAACGCAGATTTTCGCACATTGCCCTCCAGGGAGCAATAATGATCAACCTGTATCGGGATGAACCACGATTCAGTCAGCCGCATCAAATCCTATCGGAGTTAATGAACATCGACTCTCTAATCACGAAATGGAGGTGTAAGAAAAAACATTTATTTATATATTGTTATGTATGTTTACCTTTTGCTAAAATTTATCTTTCAATTTTGCAATATTCACAAAAACGAAACTATGTCCTTTTAATTTTCTTACGACACGTGTATTCATAAATGCACATAATCATTATTAGTTATACGCGCACATAATTACTATTATCAGTCTTAAATTATTTATAATCGTTACCTAATGCACGCATTGGATATCTTATCTGTTTGTGCAACCATTAGAATGTTCTTTTCCTTTTCAGATAATCATGTTATCATGGTACAACGAATGATCGGATCTCAACAATTGGGCTCTGGTGGCTCCTCCGGCTACCAATATTTGAAGTCCACATTAAGGTATATACCTGCTTCGATTAATGGCGAAAGTAATAATTAATACGAAGTCATTTATTTGCTAAATAGATGCCAGTGGCAGCGAAAATAACACTTTCTCTCATTTATCGCGAGTTTTTATCATCAGCACAAATATTATTATTGTAATGTCATAAGTCACTATCAAATATATCGTTTACTTGTTGAAACTCGATGACTTTAGCAGAAGTCATCACTTGTACTTAGATAACTGTTGTCTGAACACTGTTTTCTTGAATTATCATTCGACACGTCACTTCAGAAATCCATCGCGTCTCGTAAAACGTACCAAATACTTTAGTTCTATTACAAATGCAAATGTTTTTAATAATCAATTTCGCTTGTTTCATATGTCTTGGTGAACAGCGATCGATACATAGTCTTTCTGGACTTGTTCAACCTGTCGAATTTCATGATACCACGTCGCATGATCCCGCCGTTGACGAAGCAAATGAAAATGAAACTATCAATAGCCACGTACTCGGACGAGGACCAAGATGAATCGATCAACTCTCTAGAAAGCTTGAAAATTAGCTCACCCAGCACACAACAAAGTTCATAAAATTCTAATAGGTTTTAACGTTTCTTTAACGTCACGTAGTCAGTGTATATTATGCACTCACGCTGATACAATTAGATTATAGTTAGACGAACGCTTGAAAGTGAATGCTCTCTTCAAAACGTTTAGCGTTAGAATTAAATATTTCTGAAAGGCTTCTCGGAATTAATCTACGATAACGTTAACATTGAAAAGTAAAATTTCAAATATGTATTCAAAGTTATTTATGAAAACGTTTCCGATTACTAATTAGATTAGACGGGGTGATTTAAAGTAGCGTTTCTCAAACTTTTTCGCCGCGCAACTCCCAAAAAACGTAAAAAAGGTGAAATTAATACTTTGCGACCCCCTGTAAAACCCCAGGAGGGTACAATGAGACTATTTCACTCACTTAAAGAAAATTTCGTACGAGAAATTTTATAAAATTATTATTTTGCGACCCCCATTTCGAGAACCGCTGATCTAAAGAAAAGTTTATCTCCATTGTTCACAGTGTCTATCGTTAATAAAAAAAGCTCATAGCTGTGTCTAACGATTGCAGATATCACTTTCTCACAGATTAACTTTTCCTCTTGGATTGCCTTCTGTTAAAATAATTGTATTCGGTAGACTTCTTCTGACGTAACAAATAATACGAGAAACATAATTAACAGCATTATCCGTGTACTTAATAACGTGTTTTATTAAGTCACAATGTTTCCTTACAACACCTATTGATTTATTTCAGTTAGAAATTGGAAACGCTGCGATTTAAAATTCTGCTACGATCGATTAAGCAACTTCGAGCGACGAGACTTGATTAGCTATACCTGCGAACACACAACGAAGTATTCGTTAGGAAACTAAGCACTCGGCTCAATTAGCGCAAGTACTGTATGCCGCTTATTCATTACCGCATAAATTTTTGCCGATCGCAATGTAAATGTAACCTTTGTCACCAAAGGACGGTCCCCACGAATTTTTTATGATATAATGCGGTATACTCGCTACCGTGTTGTATCCCACTATCTGCACCGCATGATTCAAGCTTCCCCACGAATCGTCGCAATGATACTGTATTACGCCGCCTAAATAATTCTGCCAAGATATGGCGTTCACAGCAACCGCCACGGGTCCGTGAGTAACGAGCATCGTCAAAAGTTCAGTCTCTGCGTTCACAAAGCTGGAACAAAGTCGATTATTCGTGTATGCCGGGCTGTATTAGACAATACGGCGTCCACCCGAAGCTCTTTGTTAACGCCAGCACAATCAGCAATTGAAAAATTGATTATGACATTGCATATAGTAAAAGGGAGAAATACGAAAAAAAGAGAGCATACTAAGTAATAATGAGCATTATAAGTAACAATAAGAAAATTGTGCATTAGAAATAATAAGGCACGAGCAAAAAATAAACTACCTGTCGCATGTAAAGTCTGTTACTTTAACTCCCGATGTCTTCGTGGAAATTCTAAAACACCAAGTCTTATGATATTTTTGTATCACGCTAAAAGAAAACATCCTCGCGCAATGCAACGTACTTGGGCAGTCTACACGTATCGGTGCGCCATTTGAGAGGATAATCGGTCTCAGATATAATTTCTGTTTTCGACACCAGCAGCCACGAGAGTAAACTACATATGTCACCGCCTTGGCATCCGTAACTGCCTGGCATGCAGTCAATCATCTGCATAATGTGGAGGATAAGCCACATATGACAAATTAATATACAGGGACGTCTAAGAAAAGCTTTGATATTCTCAAGAGATTGACCGCTTCTCAAAGATCGATTTCCTTCTCGAAGAGTTCAAGAGTTTGCCCCGTGCATCTTAAATCTCAAAACTTTTCTAGTTCCCTAACGTATAAGCGTGCTGCGTTGAAAGAGCAAGGGGGCTGCTAGAATAAGAGCCCAGCTGCTTTTAATGTCCATCAATGTGTATGGCCAATTTATTCGACGATGCTTCCGTGAAAGCACTTCCGTAAAATTTGTTTTGGGACGCAGGCTTCTTCGAGCGGTTCCCTCGCTTAGGAAATAGAAAAGCGTGTCGGGAATATAACGACTTACTTCCTGCACGCTAAAGGAATACAAAGTTCCGTTTTTTATGGCGTACATCGACTCGGCCACCCCGATCGTGCTGAACGCCCAACACGCACCGCAACTCTCTTGACTCATAACTGGTCCTACAACCCTTTGGTCCCGCCAATCAAATTTAGAGGGTATACCCGTCAATCTTTTCACACGATTAACCGAGTTCGTAGAGTGTTGACGATAATACGACGCTGTCGTGTGTTTTTGTCCTGGATCACAAAATTGTTATCGTGTCAGCAAATAATATAACGTTAAATTATGCTCGCTACGAGCACAGCTGAACTATCTCGGGAAACCCTTTTTGATTTTTTAAATAATACAGCCAGCAACTTTAGTGAATCCCGAAGGTTTTCACGATTTACAGATCTTTCGTCTTCAATATTAGTCTTAAAATAAAACAATTCATTGTCCTCGTCGCGGAGGACGAGCTTTCTCTGATAAATCTTGTTGATTAATAAAAATATAGCAAACTTAATTTTAATAAATTTAAAAGTTTCTAAGATTTAAAGATTTTTGGTACTTTAGTATCGAAACAAAATCATTATTTGGAAAACGAATTCTTGGTGGCGTGCACTTGTACACACTAATTATATTAATTAATTATATTAATTAATACAAATATCATCGCAAACATGCTATGTATCGATAAACAGGTATATTATCGAAAGTAAATATTGTACGTCAAAACTGAAATAGAATTATGAACATCTACTCGTTGATTTGGTTGCTCTAATCCCGTTTCAAATTTAAGTTACATAATTCAATTAATACTTAATTAACTTGATTACTATTTCTTTTGCCGAATTATTAAACTTACCCCGCAAAGGTAAGTCGGGGAGTAGTGCTTTTTGCAAGAATTCATCTTCGGATAAATCGGAGAATTCTGTCAGCCCGTAGAACGCGCTTTCTTGCGACGACCGTAAACCGTTCAGCCTGTCGATATGTCGCAATGATTGCTGCAATTAATTTCATTCCCCTATTAATACCATTGGTAGCGAAAGAAAATTGCATCTACCTACGATACTAATCTGCAAAGTTTAGCAATACTCTACTTACGTTAATCGTCAATTTATCGATAATATTGATAATATTGTACATATTATAGAATTTCTTAATCTATATTATACATGTACGTACATTTGTTAATATTATAGTTAGTTGCACACTTTACGAATATTATTTTAGACATTTACTTCAGAAAATTTTGGAGTAAAATAATCGGCAAGTGTGAATACCAGAAAGTTAATGTGCAGTAAAACTATAGAGAATTTCTAGAATGAAACAAGCTTAACGCTTTTTATCATTACTCTTCTTCCGTCAGTGCCGATAGAACTAATTAATGCATCGCACCAAGTTGTAACGCAAACACAAGTGACTCATAATATGCGCTCGCGAGCACGCATATATATTTGTGTTTACGCATTTAATTAAAATGATATGAAATGATAAGGAAATATCTTATAAAATCCCTGAAAAAAATTTATATTAAAATTATAACGTGTCAACGTATACGCGGAACAACGAGGATTAAATTCGAAAGGTACAATGTCGTCGTGCAAACATTTAAGCCGATCGCGACTCCTATCTGCCTCCTATCAGGAGAACGGTAGGAATCGTTTCTCGTCGTTTACCTGAAAACACTCGAATCTCTTATTATATTCCGCGAGATTGTCCCTGTAGGACTTATTGTATCGCTCTACGTATTTCGCGAACAGTTCCGCGTCCTCAACAGCTTTATCGGGTTTGACTTTGATTGGCACGATAAAGAAGCAAAGGCTCACGACCAGCACTATCACCACTACTGTTCGCCACTCCATGTCTCGTGCACAACCACGCAGAACGCACGTTGCGTTGTGCGTTCGCGTTGTCACGCTACGGACGACGCAGACGCGATAAGTAAAGTGGTGAGACAAAGGGTCTGTTCTTTGTAGCTGAATCGACTGCACTAGTTCAGAGTTTATCTTTCTCCTTTCAATGTGGTGGGGAAGAGATAAACTCTGAAGTAGTGCAGCCGGTTCAGCAATAAAGAACAGACCCTATGAGTGTAGTCAGTATTTAAAGATTTGCCGAGTAAGCGCTTGGCTGCAACCCGATGCTATCTCGAAAATGGCGGCAGTATTTAATAATCACGCGGATTTTCTCTTAGCATTAACAAGCATACAGTGTTTTTGTAAAGAAAAATTCATTTCAATTTAGCCAACACAGCTGTAATAAAAGAAACGAAGCTTTTTGCTTTAAGGGGTCATTCCATTTTAACAGCCCAAAAACTATGCTTATCTTTAACAATTTTTTTCCCAGTAACTACACCATACAATGAAATTAATCTTTTTGAGATTATTTGAGATTACGGTGTAGAAAACGCTTAATTAAAGAATTATTTAAATTGTGACAAACATTTTTTTGTGTTATTTAAGAGTGCCCTAATAAACATCAAAAAGATTTATTTCATTGTATGTATTTACCGTAGAAGAAATTGTTAAAGATATGCATAGTTTTTGGGCCGTTAAAGTGGAATAACCCCTTAAAAATATTTGAAATAAAAAATAGTATATGAAAACGTTCAACTCTTTTAAACAATTTATTCTTAAATTATTAATTTATTAAAAAAACAAACTACTATGTAAAACGAGCACTGGTAATGAGATCTTCCATTTAAAAACTTCCATCATGTAATTACATCAAGTATCAAGTAAGTATAAAGTGAAGTAAAATAAATAATAAAACAGTATTTAACCAGATTATGCAAACAATTATAAAATCTTATCCTTCCTTTTTTTTTAAATGGAGAAAATACATGTGTATAATTTGTGGGACACAAGCCAAATTATATCGGTGGCGACATCTGCTAAAGAAATAAGGAACTATTTGTTCTGCTCGGTAATAGAAAAGTTATTAATTTTAAATATCGTAATGTAAAATAATTTAGAATATTAAAGTAGATATTGATTATTTCACTGTTAAAGATATATAAGATGTATTCAAATATAGTAAAAAAAAATTATCCTACATGATATTGTTTATCTAACTCGGTCTTTCTTTAACAGAACATTATTTTTCATAGAAACCTACACAGAATGACATTCTAATTAATTTTTTTTAAGAATAATAAATTAGCAACAAATTTTAATCTTATCATTATCGATTTATCGTTACTTATAACCGTTTTCAGTGATAATTCACCGATTGACTTGTAGACAGTGTATGTAGAGATATGTAACATTCTTTATAAATGTGTAAACAAAAAATCGTATTGTAAATGCGCAAACGAAAGTCTATCGCATAAAAGATTATTTTAGACCAACTTAAAATTTCATGCAACAGAAAAGTTAATCTAAAGAGGCCCTCCGCCGCCCCCGCTGATTCCAATCAGCGGTCCTCTTTTCTTTACAATACGATTTTTAACATTTTTATTATTTACCTTTCTTCATACAATTTACAAAATATTCAGTATTATAAAAGAGATCATTATACAATACAAATTAAAATATATAATGTAAAATATAATCAGATACAAATTATATATTTTTTTAAATGAAATTACACATAAAAATTCGGTCTGCGTACAATAACACGAAATCTTTACACGTGTTTATTGCGTAATATTTTTTACTAATTATCAAATAATATTTTCAAAATTATTTTACTTTATCTAATTTGCATAAATAATCGTAAATAAAAGGAGCATTAATAAATTTATCATTTTGGAAGTAAGGAATCTCCCGAATTTATTAACATTTTTTTAGTAAATCCAAAGTGCCAAGTTTTAAACTAAATGCTTACCAATCGTGTAATAACTTCTGTCTTATTGTGTGCATCCGATTACAGAATTAATATTACAATGTTATAATATTTTTAATGCATTTAATTATTATTATGTCTCCCTGTCCCTGCCTATCCGAATTCCTGCCTACCCGAATTCCTACCTACCCGAATTCGTATCTACCCGTATTCCGATTCATCTTTATAGTCCTATCTATCCATTTTCTTACCTACCCGTTCAAACAAACTTATAAATTTTTAATTAAAATTTATATATTTAAAATAAAACCGCGACGCGATTATTAGGGATACACAATTTGGGCTTTTAACTCGCGCGCGATGGAGGTATAATTCAATTTGTTTCTAATCTCGCATATGTATATGCGAGAAAATATAGAAAAGAATAACCCACCCGAATTTTGGCAAATAAAAAAATCTGTACAAGTTGATATTTTGTGTGTATTTCACCATCGTGGTCAACAAGGACCACTTTGAAATACTATACATTCCTTGTTGAATCTTGCGTTGGGCCAGATTGGACCTACCTTTCGTCGCTCCTGGCCATATATCTGGTCACATATTGACCAGACATCGGTAGGAAAGAGAGAAACTCTTTCCATTGTCGGTTTATTATCATTGTCGATGTTACGTACGATTCGAATTATAAGCGTATGCGAGCGTATATGAGTGGCGATTGAAAAATATACGACAATAAAAGGTTAATTAAAAAATATATATATCTGTAAAAATTTGTAAAATTGACCGCATAAAATTGACTGAATATATTTCAATCCCGTTATTTAATTGAGAATATAGATTGATCGTTTTTTGTGACCGTTTTTTCAATTCGGAATTGTAAGTATAAAAAATATATATAGGAGAAAAAATTTTATTTCGCGTTATATGCGTACTGATTTTAATTATATCCCGTGAAAATTTGAAACTCATATTGTAAGTGAAAGTAAAAAATTAATAAAGAAAATTTCTCGATGGAAAAACCGATCGCGAAAACCGACCGTGTAAACCGACCACGAAGATGCGTGTAATTGTGCATGTCGTTCATACCATACGCATCTTGAAAATACATATATCAAATCAAATATAGAAAATATAAAAAATGGATAGGTTATAAAAGATTAGCTCGACAAATACAGCAAGACTATATTTGCCAAGCCGTATTTTGTGTAATTTTTGCAACGTGGCTCAACAATTCTCAAGATGGAAAGTTCAACATATCGTTATATGTACAATAGAGATTTATAAGATTAAAAGAATGTAAAAGAAAATTAAAGGCCCCGCTGCTGGAAAGAATGAATCCCAGATCTTCCGGATTACCTCCGATAGCGGTCATTTCGGCAGGGAGTTAACGACGATCGTTTCTCATGGAAACTCGTATAGTTACAGTTTTATTGAAATAAAACTTATTCTTCCATTATAAGTATGGGAGAATATTTATTGAGAAGTACATATATAAAATCTTCTCCTTTTTTTGGTTAATTTCGCGAATCGACGTCGCGCCCTCGTGCCGAAACCGTTACTTCCGGGGATCCGCGACAAAGAAAACCAGGGATTAACTCTGGTTATCCAAGAAGGTTTTCAAACTTAAACGGACAAAGGAAAAGTTCAACTAATCCAAAGTCACATTTCGCGTAATTTATGCTTCTAAAAATCTGGACCATTTATTTCCGATAGGTTGAATATATAAAATAAAAGATTAAATGCTGTAATTATTTTATTATGGCCTATTCATTTTGAGGCAACGAATCTACGAGATATATTTAACTAAAATCTACAATCTACTATCTACTATCTACTATCTACAATCTACGATTTACATCATTACAGATGTAGATTCGTTGCCTTAATAAATAAAATTCTTACTCACCGACCCGATGCGCAGCAGCAGAGTTGTATCTGTAACACAAATAAAAAATTTATATTAAAAAACGTCATCAACAAGAAACTGTGCAATTATGTATGTATTTGAAAAAATGAATATCGAGCATACACAGATTAGGCCTGCTGTTTAAACTATTATTATCACTCATAAATGTGTCAAGTTTCTTCATTACATACTCTCGATTCAACACTCACGATAACGCGATTGAAGGCAAATTAAATGTTATGACATGATGACCGCGAAATAAAATGATGTATTATGGCAGTCTCCCGTTACACACGTTTAAGTTCGTCCTTAAGAAATTCGAACGTCGAAAAAATTTTTTTCATATCAACTCCGCTCAGGTACATTGAGTCGATTCAATAATCAATTAAACCGAGAAAATGATATAAAAATACTGATCGAAGAGATGTGCTTCCTGTTCGAAACCTCGAGCGTATAAATTCCGCGAGGTACAAATGTAATTAAACGATTGAATTGACATTATTCCGTTTACTTAAGTCACTTTATCCGCGCAATCCCACATCGCAACACTCGCTGACGAATGTACACTTAATTATAATCACATTTTATGCAACATTTTCGACGTTATTTGTTTTACCGACAGTCTACTGTGTTTAAAATAAATAATCAATAAAGATCCCGGATTGTAAAAGTATATGTGATAAAAGTTTGAAAGTCTTGTCGCATTAATTGCTATGTGCGAATAAATCGCGCGAAGTATCTTTCCGTTTGACCGAGTATTCATCGACATCCGTATGAATTATTAAACACAGGAATTAAATAATCGTACAGGAGATAATTACGTATTGTATACGAAGAGCGGTCGAGAGATCTTACCGCTACGACACACGAAAAATTCGAGAATTGTCGAAGAATTAATAAGAATTAGAGGCATTGCTAAGTTTCCAAAAATGAGATTTCAGCGATGTAGTCTCATAAAAGAAATAAGCACTATAAAAATTTTAGAATGCTGTTTTATATTGTTCGCAAAAAAAAAGAAAGTTGCGATAGTCGGGAAGTCAAAGAATAAAAAAAATTTCCGGATCCAATACTATTACACTTCAATGACTTATAAAATAGGATCGATATAGCGCCAGTCATATTTGCAGTATTACAGAGAATGGAATATTTTAATCTTGAAAACAAATTCTACAATCTAGAATAAAATGATAATATGTATCGTCTTTTGTTGAAGATCGTGGTACCAATTTC